GATGCGCTCGCGCGCTGCCTTCGTGTGGCGCCGAGCCGATAACTTCCGGCTTTTGTTGAAATCTAACGAGCCACCGGCACGAAACGAGTCCTATGCCGGTAATCTGTTCTATTTATAGCGCAGTTGGCCGATATCTATTTCCATAATGTCCTCCGTATTAAAATATCGATTAGAGATTCATAAGCTGCGAGATTCGCAACTGATTGGAGGAAGGGCTCACCTGGCTCGGCGATAAGCTCGAGCTGTTCTATTGTTAGACAACGCGATTGATTGTGACGTGCGATGTACGTATCTCTCGGTGCAACGGCGACATGGTTCGCCAACTTTTCACTCACTCTCTCTCTCTCTCTCTCTCTCTCTCTCTCTCTCTCTCTCTCTCTCTCTCTCCTTCATTTTTTGCCGTTTTTTTCCTGGCGGACGGACCGACAAATCGGAGAAACGCGGCATCGGTACCGGTGCCGAAACCTTGGCCGAATTATTGATCGCGAAGCAAAACGTGTCTATGTATAGGGGTTCAAGAGCACAGGACCGTTTCATCTTTCGCATCAACTGCCGCTTTTATTCGTCATATTCGAGCGATCGTGAAGTTTTGTCGCGAGCACGTTTAACTGGAACGCGACATTTCTCGCATTGTGTGTCCGCACTCGCTCCACTTTGTATTGCAGCATTTTTCCGCGAACGCGTGAAGTAAGATTGAAGACATTCTCAGGCGGGTTCTTTGTTGAACGTTGCGTTGCTCATTCCTTCGATCATATCGAGTCGACCGTAACTGGACGGTCGCTTGACTTTCTGCGCATCCTCCTCGCAGCCGGTTCAGCCGGGTACCTCCGTTCAAGCAGCGATCGCACAGAACGAGCTACTTACATCCGTGAAAGGATGAGCTGCGAAAACGGCAGTTGCTCTGGTAACATTCTGGTCAAATTAAAAGTGAGACCAAAAATCTCACGACCATTTTATTGAATCGTTTATTTTGAATCGCTCAGCGTAATGCATAGTATATGGGAATCTTGACGACTCTTCAAGCTTAACTTTAACCTTGACTTAATTCGACTCTATATTCTCTCCGTTAGCGATATTTGATGTTTGTCGTACCGAGCGAGCGAGAGAGAGAGAGAGAGAGAGAGAGAGAGAGAGAGAGAGAGAGAGAGAGAGAGAGAGGAGGAGAAGGGATAAATTTCAAACGCATGATTAGCTCTTTGTGCTTTTGCCAATTTCATCTCAACAGGACAAGACAGTGTGGCCGCGGTAATTAAAGCTGCAGGGACATGACCCCCGCCATTAAATTACCATTCGATTAAAACCGCCAACAAAGTTTCGCTGCGTCCGTGTGTACGATACGACGTCAGTCATCAGCGGTCGAGCATCCTACTTTTTTTTGCGCCATGCATCTTCTTCCGACCTGCTTGGCCCGTGCGGCCGGTTTTGTCGGGGATACAATGTAGCAAGCGCATGCCACACGGTCTCTCGCTTTGATGTCTATAATCTCCGCGACTCTCCGGCCTCGCTTCGAGCCACGCTTGTTTCCCGTTTGCTATTACTAGTTTACGAGCAATTTTCGGCTTCGATACGCGGCCGCACAACGAGGTTGCGCGCGCGAGAATTACGAGCGGGAGGAAATGCCCTCCCCTCCTCCTTCCCCCGTCGTCGACAGAGCGTGCGCCCACCCCGCTGTTTGCGAATTTAATTTATGCAATTTGCTCGGCCGCTGGAGCAAAGCGGCCACAGTTTGGGAAGAAGATAAGTCCGTCGTAACGGCCGACAACGCCTACGAAGTGATCGCACGGGGGCAATTCTCTCTCTCTCTCTTTCTCTCTCTCTCTCTCTCATCCCCACGTTCTCTTTTTCGTCCTGGAGAGCGACATCGTCGCTCGGGATGTTTATCGTCCCCCCGCGGTATTGCAGCAGGCCGCCCACTCTCAGCGGGAGTTCGCGACATTTTGGAGCGTCTCACGTTTGGCCGGCCTTACCGGAGAGAGTTTGACAAAGTAGCAATCAGTCGAGACGGAATTGCCGGCGCCGTCGACTGTACCATCATCATCATCATGTACAGTTCCTGTCGGAGCCGCAGCCAAGACGAAGAATGTAGCGAAGCGTGTATCGAGACGCGCGCCGGCCGGGCGCGTGTGAGTGTGCGACGAGCTCACACGCACACGCGCGCGTCTGCCTGCGTAGGGCATCCAAGTGCTTCGATCTTTGGGTGAATGGCTAGCAACCTTGAAGAGAGTGCTTGGAATGCGCCGGCTGCTGCAACTTCTTAAGTAGGCTACCTAGCGACGAGTCCCGTCCATCTGTCCATCTGTGTCCGTTCGTCCATTCGCTCGCTCGCTCGTTTGTCCGCTCGTCGGTATGTCGTACGTTTACACCGCATTATGGCCACGTACCAAGCCTTCGCGACACGTGTTGCCACCTTGCAACCTTGTCGCGCCTCGTGTGTCTACGCACGTGATTCCGCGATTTCCTTCCGACGCGAAATTCGATAGACGCGCGCGCGCGCGCGCGAGCGAGATCGCTGATTTCCTTCATTCCTTTGCATTTTTTCGGCCGCACGTGGAGCGCGGTCGGCGATCGCCAAGCGGATCGGCGGAACGGCCTCTGCCGCGAGCGCGAGCAGACCCTCCCCCCCCCTCCCCCCGCGACGAGGAATGTTATCGGTGATTATCGTGCATTTGCGAATTCTTCTCGCGCCATGACGTCCGGTTCGCCGGACGTGGAAGCGCGATAAACGAGTCTGTTTGGAGAAGACTGCACACAGCGCGTTAGTCTCAAGTAACACTTACCGGCGATTACCTGCAATGACAGTAGACTCGAGTCGAGTCGCGAGGAGACAGCCGCGTGATTGTCATTCTCTCGTTTCACGCGCGCGGCTCTACGGACGTATTTGCACACACGCACACACACACACACACACACACACACGCATACATACGAACGAGTTCTAATTATGGAAGGAAAGCGGTGCGTTTTTTTTTTTGCTCGCGAGAGATATCGTGCCGAGTTTAAACACAGGTGGCTCCGTTTGACTATCTCATTGTTTCCTTATCGTAATTTTAGAAGCTCTTCGCACAAACAGATTTCATTCTTTTTCGGTCTCAACCTTCCGTCGACGGCACTGTTTTCGAATCGAGGACACGTTAACAATCTCGCTTCCCCTTTTCAACTACATCCCCATTCATCTTCCGCTTCCTTCACACTTGCCGTCCTACATTTTGCAGAGCTGCGTCTCGCTCGCTTCGACTTTGCCTGCCTTCAGAGGGAAGCAAAAATTGCCTCGTCCCGTTGCCTAACGTCGCGCCAATTTTTACATCTCCCATGTTCCTTTTCCATCCCTAACTTCGGCCGCAATACGACGGCAGCTCGCGGACCTTCGCGTCGCGTCGCGTCACGTCGCTCGTCGACGGCCGTCGATATTTCGCCGCAAGCCCGCGCGAGTTACACGCGAGTGGATAATACGGCCCGGCGCTCCGTCGAGTCCTCGCGAGTGCTCGCGATCCGTTATGAATGAAACGTCCGCGGCTATCGCGCCCCGCAGCACGCACACACGCACCGTGCACACGTCTCGTTTCGCTTCTCGCGTCGACGCCGCTGGCTTTGAGCGTTCCGATTATGCTCGCCGCCGCGGCGCGGTCGGACGTCACCGGCGCATTTTTGCGTGTTACGTTTCACGACGGACTAATTATCTCGATAACACGCGACAGTCGTTGACGATAAACAACACACAGCGCGCGCAGATGTCGAACAACAGTCTCTTCTATTACATCGGCGAGATGTTGTGTGTCGCGCGCGCGCGCACGCAAGAGCGTCTTTTGGCAACGCGCGTTGCCAAAAAGTCGCGCTATATCGATGGATGAACGTTAGCGGCGCGGCGGCCGCGGATATTCGCGTTATGCGAATGTGCCGACAGCTCCTCTGGATGTATATTTCGGACAGAGGCGGGGCCAAGTCGTAAACTAGCCGATACAACTAGTAAAACCGCGCTCGTTATTCCCGAGCATCGTGTAATTTATGGATTCGGTCTCGCGGATGAACACACGACGTATGTACATTAACCGCCAAAGCTGTTATATATGACACGGCTGTTGTTATTCCTCGAGGAACGCGCAACGAGCAGTTGCTCGTATAAATCGACGTTTAGGTGCTCGCGCGTCAAACTTTTTCTTCTCTCCCCCACCGCCGTTCCCTGCCTATTACCTCTTGAATCACATATCGCAAAATGATTATTCATCGAGGAAACGTTTCAGCTCGCGCGCGCGGTGACGTCGTCGATCGCGAAAACGCGCGCGCAAAGTTGACTCGCGACTTACGCACGCGCAACGGCAGCGGCGTCATCATCGCGTGTGCGATATTGCCGCCGCGATAAAGCGCGATCCCCGACGAGGCGACACGGCGAGGAGGTGCTCTCGCGCGCGCGCGGCGACAATTCGCCCAATCGAGTAACAACGACGGAGGAACACGTCCTCCGCCGTTTATTCTTCCGATGGGTGGCAGCTGGCGGCGCGGCGAGTATTTTTAGCGTCTCCGGTTAGAATCGAGCACGTCGGCATCAACGACGACGACGACGACGACTCTCCGTTATATATCCGTAGCAACGACGATACGACGATTAGCGAAGGAGATGCACTCGACTCGCCGCCGCCGCCGCCGCCGCCGACGACGACGATGCTGCTCCAGACGTGGCTTCAAGCGTCTTAAGGAACGCGCTCGTTCCTTACGGAGGAAATGACGCTGAATCACCGTCGCGATATCAAGTCCGATGGCGCGCGGCGATGGCGATGAAATTTCCAGAATCTCCGTGACATTGTCGTTATATAACAGGTCCGGCGCGAAGCGACGCCTTTCGCGTTTTTTTATCGCTTCCGCCAAAGTCGAGTTGAGCGAGCGCGATCGATAATTATGTATGTACCCGGTGATTCGCGGATTACGTGCTTTGCACGCGCGATTTCACGCACTCCCGCGTGCACTCGGGCTTCGCTGATCCAGCGGTCGTATCGTTTCCGTTGCAGTGTGCCAAAGTATAGACATAAGGAATAGCGTGGATCAATTTTCAAGACTGGAAGGATGTCGAGTGGTCGAGGGCTTTGTACAAATTCTCCTGATCGACAGGGCGAACCACACGGCCTACGCCAACATCAGCTTTCCCCAACTGGTGGAGATCACCGGATACCTTATCTTGTACAGGTATGGCCATCCGAAAACGATCAATGATATCACGTGTAAGTTCCGGGACATTCTGCGCGATTCTTGCGGCCTCCGCTGTGTGACCGCGCGAAGATTGCTTTCTGTTCGCTGAAGAAAATATGCGAAGGCCGGAGCCGAAGAACAACTAGCAATTTGTCGTTGAAAAATTTAAACGCTTTTTCAAATTAACGTCGTGCTAGTCAAGTCGAGTCTCTTCGCTCTTGTTCTTTTTCAATACGCGAATGCCAATTTGTTGCCGTTAGTACCATTAACATTTTCTCAATATCGTGACGTGCGGCAATGTCAGAAAACGTCAGAAAACGTCAGAAAACAAGTCGAGAAAATTACTTCGAAAAAGTACACGAAGAAGTTGAGGCGAGTTAACTCTCAACGGAAGTTTGTGCGCTGCTTATCCTCCCCTGCTAACGCCAACCGAGCACGCCAACTTATCCGGCGACCGTTTTGTTTTCCAGAGTGAGCGGGTTGAGGAGCATCGGTCACCTATTTCCCAACCTGACCATCATCCGCGGGCGTTCTCTCTTCACCAATTACGCCCTGGTGGCGTTCGAGATGATGCAACTGCAGGAGATCGGTCTCCACTCGCTCACCACCATACAACGTGGCTCCGTGCGATTCGAGAAGAACCCGTCGCTGTGTTACGTCGACACCATCGATTGGGACATCATCGCCAGGGCCGGCAAAGGAGAGAACGTCATATTAGTGAGTACCTCCGACTTGGGTTCGATGTGACCGTTCCACCGGCGATGATCCGTCAGATTTCGCGGGGGACTCCCTCCGTTAGACAGACCCGGTGAAGGCAAAGGATCCCAAAGTCCAAGACGAATCGTTGACAATCCCGACATCCAACACTCGCATCATCGTCTTGGCGAGCGGCGACTGGTGTCTGTCATCGTCGTCGTCGTCGTCTTGTTCGTGCTCACGCGTGCGAATAAATGATCGTTGGCACTATTCAACGAGCGTTAAAATACGCGCTGCAGTAGCACAACAACAACAGCAGCAGCAGCAGCAGCAGCGTCGTTCTTCCGAAAAGAGCCAGGAGCACACCTCCCCGCGCACAAAGTATATCCTCTCGGCTCGAGCGGAGAGAGATCAGTCTGCAGCGCGCGCGCGCGCGCGGGTTCGTCACGCTTCGCGGCGCGGAGCGACACGGCAGCGGTCTTCTCTCTGTCGGCGGCGAATTGTTAAAGGACAAGAAATCCGAGACGGAAGCGCCTGAAAATTGCTTCATTTATTTCACAAGCGACGCACATCATGTGAATCGCCATAAACGCTCCGTGCACGGCAGCGCGCGCGCCGTGAGAGGCGGCGCGACGTGACACAACACGTGACACGACACATTTTTCTACACGGTGAGAGGAACTTCTCCGAAGCGATCCCGCGGATCCCGCCGCGCGCTGCTACCCCCGTTGTTATTAACTGAAACGTGCTGGGTCAGCCTGAATGCGGATTCACGATCGAATAATGAAGTAATCGATTTACGATGACATGACTGATTATAGTCCAGCCGCGGCTTTCCATTTTGCCGAGCGATCAAACCGAGACATCCGCGCTTCTCGATTCCCGTCCAATCCCTCGTGAAAAAACGTATCACGAAGAGGAGAAGCGACAAAGTGGCACGGCTCTCTCAGTCCACTACCAGCCTTTCGCAATCTGTTTTTCGGCCTTGACATTGGCGTAGCCCCCCCTCCCCCCTCCCCCCCCCCCCGATGCCGAGTGTCTTTGCGCTTCTCTTCTTCTTTCTCTCTAACGCGCACGAATCTGCACGCGACATGCCACGGCTATTCGCGCTCCGCTATTAACGTTTCAAGCGCGCTTTTCCTTTTGTCGCTCGAAGTATTTCTCGCGATGCAACATTGCGATTCATCGAGTCATCGTGCGTTACGGGGAAAAATGTTGCGGAATAAACCGATTGTGGGAAGAACGATAGCGAGATAGCAGCGGCGCAGATAACTTATCTCTATGCAAAAAGGTCTCGAATTAGGAACACTTAAAACCTACCCACCTCTCTTCATGGAGCGTTCAGCATGCCGGGATTTTTTCAAACTCGAAGCAAGATACGCTAAAAAGTTGTAAGAGCGGGAAAGAGAAAAACGTGTTTCGCTTTTTCGAGTCATCGAGAACATTTGATAAAGTCGCGGTGTCACGGCAAACGGGCGAGAAAATATCAAGAGCGCGTCCCAGCGACTAAAAGAGAGAAAAGACACGAAGACTGCATTATTCCGAAACGAGAAGCAATGGAAAATTGCTTCGTTGCGAATGTGATTACCGTCATTATCGCATGTGCAATCACAATGTCGTTTTTTTCTTTTTTTTTTTCTTTTTTTTTCAGGGCAACAAGTTGACGAACGGATGTCCGGTGTGCGAAAAAAGTTGCCCGGAGAAGCAGACCAAACCCGACGAGACAATGTGCTGGAACCGACAACACTGCCAACGAAGTAAGTTATCATCGCGCCCAATCGAATCCCTTCCTTCTTTCCTCTCGAATATCAGGCCAGGAAGCCGCTCGGCCGAAGCGGCCGAGAGAAGCCGCGAAGTCGTTCGCGCGTTAATAATCTCGAACGAAATCATTTGTCGAACAGTATGCGACAAGTGCGGGGACAACGCCTGCGACGACACGGGTGCGTGCTGTCACTCTTCCTGCTTGGGGGGATGCACAACAGGCCCGACAGCCAAGGACTGCAAAGTGTGCAGGAACTTGCTGGTAAATGGCGAATGCGTGGACCGTTGCCCGAACGGCACCTACGAGTTCATGAACCGGCGTTGCATCGGGATCCAGGAGTGCCGTCAGATGCGAAAGCCGCGCGAGGCATTAGACAGCATGCAGAATTATCCGTACAAGCCGTTCAACGGTAGCTGCGTGATCGAATGCCCGGCCGGTTACATGGACTACGAGGTCGGCAAGAACGTGTCCTGCAAGAAGTGCGAGGGCCCGTGCCTGAAGGAATGCCCCGCCACGAACGTGGACAGCATCGCCTCGGCGCAGAAGCTCCGCGGGTGCACGCACATCAAGGGCAGCCTGGAGATACAGATACGCGGCGGCAAGAACATCGTGAAGGAGCTCGAGGAAAGTTTGAGCATGATCGAGGAGATTGACGGCTACCTGAAGATCGTCCGGAGCTTCCCGCTGATATCCTTCAACTTCCTCCACCGTCTACGTGTGATACGCGGTAAAATCCTCGACAACGCCAAGTACACTCTCTCCGTGTTCGATAATCAGAATCTCCAGGAGCTCTGGGACTGGAGCACGCATAAGAACATAACCATCCTGTCGAAAGAGGGCCATGCCAAGATCTTCTTTCACTACAACCCGAAATTATGCCTGTACAAGATCGAGAAGTTGCGTGAGGTGGCCAACCTCGAGTATTTCACCGATTATGACGTGGCACCCAACAGCAACGGGGACAAGGTCGCCTGCAACGTCACGAATCTGTACACCAAGGTCATCCAGAAAACGTCCAGAGGTGCGATTATCGAATGGGAAGCCTTTATGCATCACGACACGAGGTCTCTTTTGGGATACGTCGTTTACTTCATCGAAGCGCCTAATACGAACGTCAAGATGTACGACGGCCGCGACGCGTGCGGCGGCGATGGCTGGAGGGTCGAGGACGTGTCCGCCGAGATCCCGACGTCGCCGTCCAACAACGGCACGATACCACAAAGGCCTATTGTTCTCACCCACATATTGACCCAACTGAAGCCGTATACTCAGTACGCTTACTACGTCAAGACCTACACCATAGCCACGGAGAGATCCGGCGCGCAGAGCGCGGTCAGTTACTTTGTCACTCTGCCGGACACACCTAGCTCGCCCAGGGCCTTGTCGACCTACAGCAATTCCAGCAGCGAATTGGTCATGTCCTGGTTACCGCCGCTCCACAAGAACGGAAAACTCACGCATTATCGGATTGTCGGCCGCTGGGAGCCTGATGACCCGAATTTCATCGACCAGAGGAACTACTGTGACGAACGTAATTCATACCATTTCATTCTCTTTGACGGGTAGACAGATGTAGAGTGTGAAACGCGATATTCGACGATACGAATAGAAGTCTTGTTCGAGGAATTCATTTGCTCGCTCATTATTACACGCTACTTTTCACAATGGGCAACAAGTAATACTGTGTAAAATTTCAGCTATGCTGTTACCCGAGAAAAAACCGATGTCCGTCATGGTGGAAGAAGAGAGGAAACGCGCCGAGGAGGAGAGGGATCAGTCGACTAAGCAATTAGAAGTAGCTTCTTGCGACTGTGCGGATCGCGAGGCGGATCAATCGATGCGTGAGAAAGAAGTCTCCAGTTCGATCGCCTTTGAGAACGCTTTGCACAATCAAGTCTATGTGAAGCGGAATGTGAACGTGCGTAGAAGACGCGAGACGTTGGAACGATACAAAAATTCTTATGATGATCAGGTGAGAACGACAAGCTAGAGAATTTCAGATCTGCTTTCGAGATATTAATTACAAATGGCTTCTTCTATTAGATCAATTTGTAAATCGAGGAGATATGAAAATTGTGTCGAGTAATACTTTAGAAATGATCGCATGAATAAAACCTGTAGTAAAAGTATCAGTAAGAAATAATCGGCGCGATCTTTGTCATTTACAGCAAAATATATATAATTCACTGTATGTGTTCTGTGTTTAGGACGAGGAAAACAGTAACAATAAAATTGAGAATGGCACGTACATAGCGTTCGAGGTGTTAGTACCGAGCACGAATCTTACATACGTCATGAGGAACCTCCGGCACTTTGCCGTGTACGACATCGAGGTTCAGGCCTGTAGAGAGCGGGTCAATGCGACGTCTATAAAAAATTGCTCGACGAAGAGCATGAAAACGTATCGAACGTTGGCTATGGAAAGTGCGGATAATATCCCAGCGAACACTTTTCGAGCGACTGTCTCTGGCGAGAACAATAGTGTCGCAGTGGTCACGTTGAATTGGGAAGAACCGCTTCAACCCAATGGCCTAATTGTCACGTACCAAATCGAATACAAAAGAATAAACATAAAAAATGTGAGTAATACACATCTTAAATTTCTCTATCGCAGTTTGAGAGAGAGAGAGAGAGAGAGAGAGAGAGAGAGAGAGAGAGAGAGAGAGAGAGAGCGCGAATGTTTCAAAGAAGAAAGTAAGGGAGAAATAGGAAGATCGCGGGCAATGTGTCCTCGATTTTTTTTGTGTGTGTGAAAGTAGAAAATAGTAAAAAGTGTCTTTTGAAGAAAGAAAAAACAGTCCCTAGAAGAGTCTCTAGAAGAGTTACAGAAGTTCCTAGTTTTCGTCGCAATTTAGAGCTTGTATCTAGTATGTATTGTAGTATCGTGTTATGTCTTATCTAAATGCAGACTGTTTCCTGTGCAGATTAAGCCAACAGTGGTGTGCATTACAAGGCGCGATTTTACCAATGCTGGTAACTCTTACGTCTTGAAGGATCTTCCTGCTGGAAATTATTCCATCAAAGTCCGGGCTACGAGCTTAGCTGGGAACGGCGCGTACAGCGAGCTGAGAATTTTTTATATCGAGGAGTACGGCACGATCAGTAGTACATCCTGGATTTTGTTGGTGGTCTTTTGCATTATCTTTATACTCGTTTCCATGGGGGTGTTTCAAGTGTGTCGAAGAAAATTATCGAGGAATGCTAGCATGAGACTGATCGCAACGGTGAATCCGGAATACGTGAGCACTGTATACGTGCCCGACGAATGGGAAGTACCCAGAAAGAAAATCGAGCTGTTGCGGGAATTAGGAAACGGTTCTTTCGGCATGGTCTACGAGGGAGTGGCCAGGGATGTTGTGAAGGGCAACCCGGAAGTACGATGCGCCGTGAAAACTGTGAACGAGAATGCGACCGACCGTCAACGCATAGAATTCCTCAACGAGGCGTCCGTAATGAAGTAAGGGGTAAACTGTTGATCGTGTTTGGCACTTTTGCAATCGCTCAGTTTGGACTCACTCGACTCACACAATCCGCTTCTGTCGCAGGGCTTTCAATACGCACCATGTAATCAAATTGCTGGGTGTAGTATCGCAGGGCCAACCCACACTGGTGGTTATGGAACTTATGGTGAATGGTGATCTGAAGACATATTTGAGGAGCCACCGACCGGACGTATGCGAGAATTTTTCCAGACAACCGCCGACGTTGAAGAGAATCGTACAAATGGCGATCGAAATCGCGGACGGCATGGCTTACCTCGCTGCGAAAAAATTCGTCCACAGAGATTTGGCCGCGCGCAATTGTATGGTGGCTGAGGATCTCACCGTGAAAATCGGCGACTTTGGAATGACGAGAGACATATACGAGACCGATTACTATAGGAAAGGAACCAAGGGACTGTTGCCTGTCCGATGGATGGCGCCGGAAAGCTTGAAGGACGGTGTATTTACCAGCTTTTCTGACGTATGGAGTTACGGGGTTGTACTGTGGGAAATGGTAACACTAGCTTCGCAGCCGTATCAAGGCTTGTCAAACGATCAGGTGAATATAATTTCCACGACAGGACACACCCGTCTGGATCGCGCTGTATGCTTTTCAAACTCACCACGTTGTTATTTGTGCAGGTGTTGCGCTATGTGATAGAAGGAGGTGTCATGGAACGACCGGAAAATTGTCCAGACTCGCTTTATAATCTGATGAGGCGTACTTGGAGTCATAAAGCTACGAGAAGACCTACGTTCATAGACATCGCGACAATGTTGTTGCAAGAAGTTAGTATAGAGGCCTTTGAGAGGGTTAGCTTTTACCACAGTCCGGAAGGAATTGAAGCCCGAAATCAAAATAGTACGCATTCGCCGCAAAATGACAAGTAAGTGTATTTATATAAATCTGCATTAAATCATACGATACGAAAATTTGTCCGAATCTCACACTCTCTTGAATCTAATCTGCGCAGAGACTTGGAAATGGCCGCTCTGCAGGACCTGCGGGAAGAAGAGGTCGAGGGTGAGGAAGACTCGCCGCTGCGTCAGGATTTCGGCGACTTTGCAAGTTTCGAACCTGCTAGTATTGAAAACAACACGAGCCCGCGTTACACAAACACGTACGGCGAAAATTCGAAGGTCGCCTCCACTTTCCATGACATGAACTCGTCGAAGGTACCTCTCAAAGCTGGATTCGACGATTTCGACGGCATCTCAGGCGATTCGCTCGCATCTAGCAAGGACACGTTGAACTTGCCTTGTGTAGAAGACAGCCTTAAATCGGTCAAGAGTTCGCCTTTTATACAAAACAAAAGTACATCTCGCAGTAACGTAAGTTACGTCTCCCTGGGAAAGTCCGCGAGTCCTCAGAGTTTAGTCAAGCGAAACTTTCTCGACAGTCCGAATCCCTCGTGTAAACCGCGCGGTAATCCCGATTACGAGAATCGTAGTCCCGAAATCATGTTGGGCCTCGAAAAGAAGGAGACTGCCCCGATGCACGTGAACTTTCCGTCGATGGACGCTATAGATATCGATATTAATGGCGACAAAAGCGAAAGCAAGAGCATGGGCGGGTACGTGAACAAGCCGGAAACACTAAATAACGGTTACATCGGTAACACCACCACGTAGCTTCGTTGATCTTTTCAACGTTAATTCAACGGCGTTCTACGTGTGGTAGGACACAAAATCACACATATGAGACTTTGGAATTATAATAATAAAATATTTGGAAATATACATACAACTTTGGAAATTGATTGTCACGGAGAAAATCAACACGAAAATATTCCAGCAAAAGAAAAAAAAAAAAAGGCAGTGTCTGTGCCAAATTAATAAGCACACTGGTTCGCAGTTTCGAGAGAATCGCGTCGAGAACGGTGATTCACGCGCCACGAAGGGGCTCTGTTAATTGCTCCTACGTGCACCGTGAGGCACCGCCCAATGCGCTTCTTTTAGACTAACATAAGTTGTACTCATAAGTTTACATTTTAAATCTCTAGACGTAACTATATGCAGGTCCTAACAAACAAGTGTGAGGTTTCCTTATACGGGTGTTACCATGTCTTAATTCCGTCTCTCTAAATATAATTAAATATTGCTACGTGCGTGTACAGCTAATTATATATTTGTTGCGCTGCGATGCATGTCGGAGAAAGAGCGAATATATTTATATCAGATACTGTCTTTTTGAAGCTATCGCTGTAGTGTACGTTAATATGGGAAATTTAGCTTTAGCTGAAGGCACCGTTATCGTGGAGTCACAACGAGCTCCGGTTTAAGCCAAACGTCTCTCCTCGAAATTGGGCTGTACACTGTGGAAGAAAAGTGCGAATACAGCAGGCGACAGTGCCACGCTGAGATATTCGCTGACAAATATGTGGCAGCCCATCTCCCCCATTAACTATTTAGCATGTAAGCGTGTATCAAAGAATTGAGCAGATTGATTATTTGTATCATAGAATTTTCATTTAATTTTCAGTCGCAAGGTACGCTAATTTCTGCTATAAGTACTATATATTTGTACAGCACCGGGATTCATTTCCCGACTTTGTAATAAGTATAGCGAAACAAAGTGGCGATTAGATCGGCGGTTACTGAGTTGGTACGATACCTTGTTCGTAGAGAGAGAAAGAAAGAGAGAGAGAGAGAGAGAGAGAGAGAGAGATGACACATTTCATAAATTATATGGAATGTGAATCGCATCTGATCGCCATTTTGTACGATTTTAGGCTTCGAACTCTCGTACAATAGTATAGATTCGACGTATTTGTTGGAAGATGTGTGTGTATGTGTGCGCACGCGCGCGTGTGTGTGTGTGTGTGTGTGTGTGTGTGTGAGATACACACACGCGCGTATATATACGTAGAAGGTGATTCAGAATAAGTCAACTTAGCAAATACAAAATAATATATATATATATCTATATACATACATATATATCGCGCGTTCCTCTAATTTACAAATGTCTATTATATTTATGTTTTCTATGTTGTTTTAATGTTTTTGACTTTATTACATCAGTTGATCTAAAATTCTGAATCTACCAATTGTTCCAACGTATAACAGGAGAATTAGAGAGTAAGGATCTCTTCAAGTTGAAAATCATTTCCAGTAACGAGCGTTCGCGACCGCGACAAACATTTTGTCGATATATATTGCAGAGTTCATAAACTCTAAGAAAAATACACTTTAATTGTGCTGTCATACATTTGTGACGAAATACCAAATAGTTGCACAGATCACAGTACGGCACAGCGTAATCGTCTTCGATATCGACGTGCCGATACCTTAATCCCGAAATTGTGACGATCAAATCAAGTGCCGCTGAAGGTATCGATGTTAATTTGAACGGCGCCCTACTCTCGTTTCTCATTCTGTGTCTCTAGATATGTAGCGAATGTAGACATCCAACGAAGCAAACCGACACGAAACGAAATTATACGGAAAGTTTCGGGACCGAACGAGAGTGAAGAATTCGCAATTACCCGCGAAAGAAACTTGACGTTGCGATATCGCCGTCTGATCTCCGCGTCAAACTCGGCAAACCGCCGCCGCATTGATGTTTCTCAAGCGAGCATTAAGTATAACTTTGTCCAAGTTTTCTTTCCTTCTCGCCTCGTCATCGCCTCGTTATCGCCGTTATCGCCGTTATCGATTCTGTCCCGAAACTTTCTCGACGTACCTTGTGCATGTGACATAGGCTATGCGTCTATGTAACGACACCATTTCGTGGAGCCGGCGTAGGAAGTCGCGCGCGTCGCCTACCTTAGCGTCTTCCAAGAAGGACGCGGCGTTCCTCACTGATAACAGACAGCACCTCCTTTTGATCGATAGTCAATGTATTATCCCGCAATGATTCACACACCGTGCAATTCGCAATCATGAGTCATGATGAATTTCCATATCGTGCAATAGTATGTCGTCCACGTTGCGCTTGCCGCGCTCAGCCGCGCGCAAGCCGGACTCTCCGCAGCAGCTCACGCGATCGTCGCGCGTCGGGCGGCCCCGGACTTTTGCGTCGCTCCACGAAATGACTGAGATTCAAAGGCATGCCACGTGCTTTTGAGTAGACGAGAGAACGTAGACTGTCTTAGCCCCGGTGAGAAAGCAAGATCGATTGCGACGGACGGAGAAGACCACCACCCCTCCCCTCCCCCCGTTGACTAGCCCCCAGCCAGTACTTGTTGCAATCGTGAGATAATTAATATCGGACGCGAATCCTAGTACGGGACGAGCTATGGGGAAAGAATTTATACGAGCAACGCGCAATGCAATGCAGTTGAGTCTAGACATTAACGAGCCTCTAACACAAGACTGATTAGCTAATCCCACTGTATACATCCGTAATCTCTCAGTAAGTTAAAGATACAAGACAAAATGGTAGAAGTTCCATATCCGCAAACGACTCTCTCCACCCGCGCCACCCATGCTCATTCTCCTCTCTCGCCTCCCCTCGGTTTTACTGTCTCTTTTATTTCGCCACATGTCCGCTCGAAGAAGTTTACTTAGTCCACCTCGATATTTATTTAACGCGATCTGCGGTGGTTGCCTGGTTCGTTCCTACGTACAAAGTCGCGCTCATTATCGCGCCGTGCCACTTCGCTTCGCTGCTTTTCTGTCGGAACAGGTGCATGTGACAGAGAGAGTATACAATATATATATATATATATATATATATACACACATATATATGTATACATATGGGGTGTCTAAAGCTGTTGCACTATTTTTAATAACGGATTCTTTCGCGGGTTTGACGTTTAACGTCCTTCTTTAACGCGCCTCGATGAAATAGCGTTCGCTGTTGGTGAAGTTAAAATTAAACGGGTAATGTGTATATGTGTATACATATATATATGTGTGTGTGTGTGTGTGTGTGTATTCGTGTCATATATTTAGTCATGTATGGCTCGCGTCGGATATCCGTTAAAAATCGAAGAAACACACACGAGGCACACTTCGTCGTCCATTTAATTAGCCGAGAGCTTCGATCCACGCGAACCTTATCTCTGTCTCACTTCCGCGGGAATCGTCGGCCGCGGAAAGAATCTACTGAAAATTCGAAGCCGTGGAATTTTTCGCTGAGGGAGTAACGCATTTATACGTAGTCCCGAGGTGCCCCTGTATATCAACGACTAAAGTACCAGTGACCTAATAGCAAGTACCTACCACTCCATTCGTAACGTTTTTACATATATCGTACATTGAGTAAGTCGCGATATATCGCAGCTTGTACAGACGACGCGAGAAAGAGGGAACGGAATTAATTAAAAGTGTAAAAGTGAAATCGACGATTCTCTCTGTGGCCGACAAGCGTCGTCGGGCCCGCGTCATCGCGCTCTCGTTAATTCGATTCCCCACTTTTCTGTCGGCCGCCGCTACCCTTGTTTGCTCTCCCTTGTGAAGCACAGACACGTAAGGTCTTGCCCCTTTTCTCACCTGTCACTCACAGAGCTGTCCTCACTGCAACTGACGCGCGGTCGCGCGGCTGCCTGTTCCCTTTTTCCCTCCGACACCCAAGATAATCAGCTCCGTTCGCTACTACCAACGTGCCAACGAGCCAAGCGATTAGACGTTAATTTGCTGGAACGCCGTTACCTCCGATCGAGCGCGATCGAATCTTCTTCAGCAGCTGAATCGCGTCGACCGAGTGTGTTGTCGGACCACGTCGCGATCGCGTTGTACTTACTCGTCTCGGATCCACGACGATCTTCTCTCTTCTTTCTCCTCTTCTCGTCGGCTCCTCTTCTCTGCAGCTCTCGCGGCTTTTCATTTCACCACGGACCATCCGCGTTTCTCCCTCTCCCCCTCCTTCCCCCCGCCCCTCCCCCACCTCGCCTTCGAGTTCTTTTAAACGCGAAGCGCTTCGTAACGCGCGTGCGAGACGCGCGTTTGAAAGGGACAAAAGGTGGTTTTACGGCAGATCGAGGCGACACGCGTTGTGAAACACGCGTTGGCCCTCGGAAATCAAGCAGAAAAACAAAAGAAAAACAGGAATACACGACAAATGACAGCATGAAAGCATCGGTCGCCACGGCTGATGTATCATAATAATAATAATACTAATGATTATTATAGTAATAATAATAATAATAATTATTATAATAATATAATAAGCCTCGCTCGTATTCCGAAATATTTAGTATAACGAATGAACAGTTATAAAACGCTTAGACCATGCCGCGTACTACGTACGAAGTTAAGGTATCACGTAAGATTAACACGAAATGTTTCCTATATGGCCGCGAGTCTCCGTATTGTGTAAGGAAACGGCGCGCGATCGCTGGATTAGGCCTATAATTATTGATATAGCTCTGTAATATATTAGATTAAACTCTGGGATATTAAGGTAGCACGTAATTGTGTCTGAAATTGTGTGCAACTATAAAGCGCAGAAGAAAAGTGTGCCTGTTGACGATTGCGCGTGTCGATCGACTTATAAGCAAGGGAAGAAACGGAAGAAAACAAAAAAACATGAAGTGTGTGAGATTGAATGTTCTCGTTCTCGTTGTAAAATGTAAAACTTAAATGTAAATCATAAGGCGGACATACACGGGTGGGAGGCCGCGAGCGCCGGGATCAATGTACATCTGTATCAACGATAGAGAAAGATCGAGGATTAACAGGGACATGACAGGGAGAACGTAATTTTCCGTCGTCGTCGTCGTCGTCGTCGTCGTCGTCGTCGTCGTCGATTCACGGATTCATGGATTTCAAGCGCCTGTGCGGGGGCAAACTCAATCAATTTTCCGTTCGCCGATCCTCCCCCCCCCCCCAGACTGAAGCTTCGCTCGTCGCAAACGCCGCGAAGAGCGTCTCCGCGCGATTGTTCCATCGAGAGATCCGATAATATATTTATTTGTATTTATTCGAGGCGACGCAGATGAATTTTCCTTTTAGCCGAGACCGAGAAGTTACTAAGGTTCCTTGGTCAATGTTGATGCATTTGTGCACCTGAGCAAATATACCTGAGCATTACGGTGATTCTCAATTCCTGTTGCAACTGATGTATCACGCCCCTTCACACTTCGTACGGCCGTTTTCTCCCCCGGGAGAGGCAACCTTGGGTCACGTCAGAACGCGCTGTTCTTCCATGTTCCAAATTTTGCAGTCTCCCTTGCTCTATTTCTTCCCCGCTGGGGGTCAATTTTCACCGTTAGGAAAATCTTCCGGCAAGACGAAGGCCACGTCTTTGCGAGGCGTGTCTTTCTTTCCGAATTCATCGATCTTGCGACTTGCGCTTTTCCGCTCGGGTTACACTCATCTGGGATCTCGTCGGTCAATGGAGCTCCCTCGTCACGAGTATTTCGAAAACAGGGTCGGTGGTTCACAGAGATTTCCAAGATCGCGCGCGTGCGATTCTTCAAGTCCCCTAATTGCATTCTTCCGCACGCCGCGTTACATCGTCACGCGCCAGCATCTCTCGCGCAGACGCGCTGTTTATTTCCCGCCATTGTTCAGGTCGTGGTTTTCACCGTATCTCGCGATAGGTGTTACGGCTCGACTGTGCAACCGCTCAATGTTACATTGCTCAAGCTCCGTATAACCAGTCTAACAGTAAGATAGCACGCGTATAAAACTGCATTGCGTCTCGCATCGTATCGACGTTGCAGGCGACCGGGGTCTCTCCGCTTTGACGACCGACGAAGAAAATGTTTCTATATATTTTGTGATCTTTTTATTTTTCTACGGTAGATTTAGACCGAATTGCGAGCGCGCGAAGGTGAGTTTCTTTCGCGTGTCCCGTAATTCAAATTACACAACGCGAATGTAATTTCTCTCTCTCTCTCTCTCTCTTTGTGTGTGTGTGTGTGTGTACCCGAATTGTGCTGGAGCTTCACAAACGACGCTGAATACTAATCGCATTTGCGAAGATGGAAATATTCTTACACGTTGAAACGCGAATTTATAGTACGAGAGAGAGAGAGAGAGAGAGAGAGGATATTTTGCTAAAGCGCGGCCGTATTGTCTCTGATTTCTCGTCGAAATATTTGAAATATCATCTGCACGCGGTGATGCTTTATCGCGCGGCTGGAAATACGAATATATCGCGTACATTTTATTTTCATTTATTCCCTCCGACGTGATTCAATATTCGATATCGGTTCGTTTGCGAGCATCCTTTTGAAATTGGATATCCGCAGCGGTTTCCGATTTTACATCATCGCGCTGCCGCGGACGATTTGACGCACCGAGTATTGCAAATTTATACTTCAAAAGTAATTCATATATATTTTTTTCGTATATTATTATTTCCCTGTATTATTCATGCGTATTCATGTGTATTTTCTTCGCAAATATGCAAATTTGCTTATTTTTTTTAACCGTACGCACACACACACACACATACGAGTCATGCAAATGCGCGATCCTATCATCCAGGAAGATTCGAAATAAAATGCATTCCCTCGTTGTACAAGCAGCTCCGCAGGAACGATATTTTTTCACGAGAATTATACGCACACATCTTATCACACAACGTCACATAGTGCTCGACCGTTGGTCCCATTTCGATCAGGCCCGTTTCCCACGACAGAGGCGGCACTCGCCGCCGATCGTGCGTGTCTTCCGCACCTGTTCGAGCGAGCACACCTTGTCGTTCATCGTTCACGCTGCAAAGAGTCTTCGGCTCTTCGCGTGCGTCCTTTTCCTCTCGGGCGACCAAACCGACAGCACGTCGCGATCATCGTTCGAACGGTTAATTCGCTGAGTAAAATGCGCAGAATAGGGCTCTAGTCTCTCGTGAATTTTACGATCAGCTGTACAGATACAGATGTGCAGATGGGACGAAGTCGCGTGGGGAATCTCGCTCCGAGGGACGCTGCTCGACGATGACTTCTCGGCACGTCGGTTCGCTTTCCGATGTCGAAGTCGCGGCGCGATCGCGAACGAGCGCACCGAAGGGGAGGTGCTCGCGATACGTGCGTGAGTTGTATGGCGGGAATGTGTCCAGCTCCACCTGGGACTGCGGAGGAAACGTGTGTGGCTGCGCGATCGCGGCGAGGAGAAGTGTATTTTATACAGCGTGTCGTGTGTGAAATCAACGAGATACTCTCTCTCTCTCTCTTTCCTTCTCTTGTTTTCCTCTATTTCTATCCTTCTCTCGACGTTTCTTGGGGTGAAGGCTCGCTCGAAACGAGCAGAAAATCCACGAAATCCACCGCGAAGCTACTCTCTGTCTCTCTCTCGGTTCCGCAAGCACGAACGTCTCTCTCGTTCATGTAAATCGACTTCCAACTCGTACGAGCAGATGTTGCATTCGATCACGGTGAATGTAGACTTTCCGCGGCGGTGATATCAACTTCCAACTCGGGATGAAAAGATATTCTCACTCGTCGAGCGAGGCATTCATTTCGATACGATCTGAAGAGAGGCCGCTCGAGGCCTCGAGGGACTCGGCGGCTGAGTCGTCCTCCGCGTAAAATCCCGCTCGAAGAAACGCCCGCTGAGTACCCGACGAGGTTGTGCGCCACGCATTCGCTACGCGGAGCTTCTCGAGGACGTTGCGCACGTCCTCCGCTGAGGATGAGGTATGCCGGCGGCGTTAGTCTAGCGTGATCCTGCGGCTCAGATGTTGCGAAGATGCGTGTCGCGCTCGCGCGACCAAGCGGAGCTTGGCCGGCTCGCCGAAGCTCGGAGCAGCGAGAGAGCTTCAGAAACGCAAGCTCGGTGCACGACGAGCTTCTCCCTTCTTCCCGAAGCGTCCAGGCGCCGCTTTGGCTACGCGCGAGCGTCTCGTGCGGACTCGGCGTGCGTTTCTCGAGAAACATTAATGAAGCAGTATCCTGCGCGCCACAGAGCCGAGGGCCTCGGCACCGTTTTCCCTGAAAGATGCACAAACGTGTTTTGGTACACTTTCCCCCTTGAGTTTAAAGCAAACGCCACTGCCGCGAGACGCGAGGAAGAGAAGTCCGCATGGGAGAAGTGGAGGAAGCAGAAGAGAGCCGCTGCTCGAAGCTGCTCGTCGTCGATTCCGCCGGGCGGGTTGCTGGCGAGATTTCAGCGCGGAATTCTCGCCCCGCGCAGCGAGAGCGCTCGGATCGGTGAGACTCGTCTAGTTGACCGGAGATCGTTTCCATTATTTCGCGCTCGCTCCGACTGCGCGCGAAGTCAGCGCGAAACGGATGATCGCGAGCGAGGCCCAGCAGTCGCTGATACAGATAGTCGTAGGTGTAACTTTGATTTGTAACGTTGTCTCTTGTATATTGTAACCGGCGCATGCAGGCAAGGACGACGAGACTCTCTTTGCACCCTTGTCGCCGTGTCTCCTTCTCCACTCCCCACCGCTGTCTACCCCGCTCTTTGTGCCGCGACGACAACGGCGACGCGATTGTCACCGGCTTGAACGCGTCGCGCTCGCTCCCTCGAAGATATTAATTAATGCGCCCTTGCCTGGGCGATGCTTGATAAATTTAGGTATCTGATTATCTCGGTGAAGTTGTATTTACTATTCTAATTGTACGCGATACGCGCCTGTACGCAGAGAAGAAGAAACAAATTTTATTTACCAAATACCAGTTTTTTAATAAAAATCTTTTTGTGAAGGAAAACCCCGAATGTTTTCACTGTACTGTGTGCGTGTGTGAAAAAACTTTTCGAACAAAAATTGCACAGCATAGAAAACCGTACAATTTTTGTTTGAAAAATTTTTCCCTTATGCGTGTAATAATTATCGAGATAGCATAAGGGAGATGAGACTTCGAGGGGCAGTTTCACCCCTTAAATCTACTTGCCGACGCCGATAAAAAAGAGATATGGGTCTCTTATTTTCGGCTGCTCTACAATTGCGCCAAGTCTCGTCGAAATCGGAGGACGTATACCTCGCGATTCCTCGCAAGTGTAACGCGAAGAAATTCCCGTTCAAACGCTTCAGTCGCTGAAATAAATGTAGACATTTCGATTATTTTATGTTACGTCGACATAACTCGATGTAACATGAGAAGTTGGCGTAATCGCGCTTCGATACGATAACTCGCCGTACCGAACAGCTCGCTGTTTCGCAGGCGGCTTGAGGCGGATTGACAGTTCGCTCCGGAGGACATGAGAAATCCCACCGTTCGTCTAGTCCTTGACGTGAAAACGATCACGCGGTCCGCCGGCGCGCCGTAAGAGCTCCGCTCATGCAGCAGCAGCATGAGAGATCGATCGCACGGCTACGTGCGCGTCTTCGTCCTGGCGTGGTTGCTCGTGGTTGTATCGTTAGCGCCGATTTGCCAGGCGAAAATCGCCAAGAACCCTCGCAGGTATTGAGCCAGTACGTGGATTCTCATAGATCGCCTCGTAACATCGCCCGTTCATTTTCGAACCGGCGATTCGTCGAAGCTTTACGTCTATCGCCAAGAAATCCCACATTTGCAGGACGAGCCGAGAGATATCCGTTCAGGCTGTCCCTCAACCGAGTGCAGACGCGAAAGAGACCCAGGAAGTGGAGCCGAAGCCCGAGGAAGGCGACGCGCGTCTCAGGCGGAAACGAGAAGCCGCGGGAAGGTCTGAGCGAGACTCAGCGAGTAACAATCCGGTTGGACCATCAAACGTCGAAAGAACGATCGATGACAACCACGCGGCCAGCCACCTGGAGAAAAAAGCGGATTACGCGGAAGAAGAGGTCGACGAGGACGAAGGGACGAGCAGCCTCGTGCGTCTACCTCGCGAGGCGACCGCCGCTCTCAGGTACACCGATCAGGACGAGAGGTCGAGTCTGTACGACGACTACGAGGTGAAGGACGTCGCGAAGCGCGGCGCGGAGGATTACGAAGAGGTGGAGGAGGACTCGCCGGAGCTGCTAGAGGACATGGCCGCGGTGCGAGAGGAGGACTCGGCAGCGGACGAAGCTGAGAAGAGAGAAACGCGCAGCGACGCTCGAGTGAAGAGGAACCAAGCTAGCCCAGGATCGCCGGCCGAGTCGAGTGCGAGCGATCCTGCGGGAATGAGAAGCGAGGGGAGCTTCTCCCCGGAGCTTCAGGTGAACCCCGGGAAGCCGGAGGATTCGAAGATCGTGGCGGAAGTCTTCAGCGTGGAGTCGTCGAGAGGAATCGACGAGCCGTCGCTTCCGAAAATCGCTGGCAAGCTCGAAGAATCCGCGGAAGGACCGGACGAGGCGGTGCCGAGCTCGAGCGCGGATTGCGCGGAGAAGCGCGTGGAGGATCGAATACAGCGGAAGATCGACTCGATGAAGGAGCAGATCTTGCGCGACCTGGAGGCGCAACGGCGGCTCCGGGACATCCGGGAGAACAACGCCAGGTTCGATGAGCTGCAGGACGAGGAGAGTCCGAGTCTCGAGGAGGACTCGGTCGAGAAGAGTCAAGGCGCGGCCCGGAAGAGATCGATACGCGACGTCGACGCGGTCTCTTCATCGAGGAGCGGCGACAAGAAGCGATCTCCAAAGAGAGAACGGCGCCAAAGAGAAAAGCCGCAAGGTCGACCCAGCGAGACCGGCAAGACGAATAACGGCTCGAAGAAGCGTTCGTCGCGCGAGAACCCGAAGAGACAGTCCGCTCGGAGTCGCGACGAGGCCTCTGGCCAGAGTCCGTCGAAGAGACTCTTCAAGAAGAAACGCGAGCGGGCCAGAGAGGCGATCTTGGTGACGAACGAGCGTCGTCGCGCGAGGAGTTGCCCCTTGCCTGAGCAGGCTGATGGAAAATCGGGGGATGAATTATCCGTGGATCCCGTGGAAAACTCGGGCTCTTATCTTCGTGAGAACGATGGAATGGTAAGATCGAATGGAAATTGAGATCTGGACGTCTCTGAGCCGTAGAATTTGAAAATAAAAGTTTCTCCGACTCAGCCGTTAAGAGTACTATCCGATATTCGCAAAGGTCTCTCTTGTCGTTGACTCACACTACCTCGATTCTTCGAGGTGAGGTATGGTGGCGTCTCGTAGCGGAAACCTCGGAATTAATAAAAATAAAATGGCACCGTTAGCGGAGATGCGAACCACTTAGCCAAAACGTAAACTCTTCGACGAGTCATCACATCTCCGTGTAGAGTAGTTCCGAAACTCCCGCTACGAGTCGCCAGCATCTTCAATGAAAAATCGGAGTCAACGATTGTGGATGCATACAGACGCGTGTGCGCTTCTCTATTCGAATAATACCTCTCGATTTTATATATGAATTTATAGAAAAAGAAAAGGATCTTTTATTTTCAAATACCGCAACTCTTTTTCTCCCAAACGGCAAGTTTGTAGGCCTTATGAAAAATATTATTCATGATTTATTAGATACTATTTTAAAAAGATGAACGACTCGTTGATTCTGCTCGACATTTTCATAACCTAATCGGTATCAAAAGTGGCTGGAAACGAAAATCAGAGTTTTGTTTCGCAGAATTTTGTATTCTCCATTTTTTTACACGTCCGTCGAATAATGTCGAAATTGTGACAGGAACAGGCGGTCCTGCACGTTGCTAACGAAGACGAGGGTCACGAGGAAGGGCAGAGTCCTGCTGGCCGCGCAGATTCCTCAGCATCTTTCACGGGCAGCTCGCAGGAATTGAGTCCTCTTTTAGCCAGAGAATACAGAGAAGCCTTCGGTGGCTTGCAGAGCGAATCTGGCAACGCTCTGGCCAGATTCAAAAGGATCAAACGCGTGCTTGACGAGCCCAAAACTCGCGAAACCCGAAGTCTCCGAAGTCGGTAACGCGAGCGAAATAATTTCCCGAAAGCTATTCAACGCGAAGAGACGCTTCCAAGCAAGTCGCATAAAATGAAATTACACGGGAATGACGTAACGATAAAACCTGATCGTCGTAGTAACGACGAGAGGGGAGGTAACTTGTAATGACTAAGCGACTAGGAATGTAGACGTAGAACTCGTAGAAACGTAGACGACACCCTAGTGCGCTATCTCCGCGGTATCTCTCACACAGGCTTCCACGAGGGCTGGATAATTTCGCTAATTAGGGTAATTAAAGGGAAGACTGTAGAATAGGGTGTAACGCCATTAATTACGAGACGCTCGGGGAGATTGCGAGTCGATTTAATTGTAGCCTAAATGAACGATATATAAATTCTTGACAAAAGTGGATATCTATGCTTTCCTCTACCGCTAATTATTTATAAACGTTGTTTTTTTTTTGTCTTACGCCGGCCGTGTAGCGCGTCAAAAGATATAAAACGAGTTTGAATTGCTTCTCTCAGACGCTCCTTACATCTTAAAACATTACAAGCTATTTAAAAAACATTTTTCGCAAAGTAAATTGCACGATCGCCAACGTCGCTTTTATGCGCACACACGGTATACACACACACACACGCGCGCGCGGTTTGCGCACGCGTTTGTCTCCAGTAATTTGTTATTAACTTTATTTTGGTAAATTTAGTTTATATATATATATATATATATATATATGTATATATATATATATATATATGTATACGTATTAACAGACAATAAAATTCAAATTAATCAATTTAACTTCCGCAAGTACATACTAGAGAAACATTATGTACAACAGTGACTCATCATCGTCGGAAGGCGTTACTTATTAATTATCACCACAGAGCAATCCGAGGACCCGAAGAACGCGATGATCAGAACATATCGACAGCTCAATTGTTCGTTCGAAAAGAAGAAGAAAGAAAATGTGCCAACACACACCGCGGCGCAATCAGAAGTCATCGTGCGGCTTGGTAGCGAAAGGAAGGACTCGCACGGGCGTAGAACACAGTCGCCTATCCGCTCGCAAACCGCACAACGCCATTGATTATTCTACTTCTAAGATATCGTTATGTAATGCAAGTGCGACGTGGCGGAGACGCGAGACAATAAGCGATACTCGTTGTTTCCCCTTTTACGCGGGAAAAAACGCGCGGCGTGCCGCGAATTAACGTGCCGCGTAATATTCAGAGACACTCGCCTGGGCGAGGGGGGCTGTGATGAGACGGGGCGAGAGGGGGGGAAGGGAGAGGTGAGGGGGAGAGGTATTCGTAACGCGGGATAACGTAATGGATCATCGGCGCGATACGCGAGCGTCATGCGAGCGTCGAGAATCCGCTGCGCAAATTCGCGCTCGCAAGCGCGACGCTCATTAATCATCGCGTTCTTCCGCGGCTCCGGCTCTCTTAGCGCCAATCGAGATAAAGAGACAGAGACAGAGACAGAGACAGAGAGAGAGAGAGAGAGAGAGAGAGAGAGAGAGAGAGAGAGGTACCTAGGCAAAGACACAGACGTTTGTTTTTTTCTTTTTTTTTGTTCGTAGACGTTCAAGATTTAATTAGTAATAAAGTTTACGATCAAACACGAAGAAGACACATAAATCGTTAAATCGTTTTCTTCTCTGTTCTTCTCTTCCGCTTTTGTTTCTTATGTTCTCTCGTTTCCGTTTTTTTTTTTTCTTTCTTTTTGTGCGCTTACATTACGAACGCGCGCTCGCCGCACGCGTCCGATAATATCCCGAAGTATACAACAATCCGCCTCTCTCGGTTCGGTAGTCGCTACTACTTTACAACGATATAAAACAGTTATTTACATTTACGACGGCTAGGAGGATCTGAGAACGATGAGAGACGCCGAGGGAAACTCTGCGTTCGAGGAATTGAATTTTCCTCATGGCTGTGCGTGTATGATGTGGGTATGCGGTGTGTGAAGCAGCGTACACGTCTCGTTCTCAGAGACGGTGTTTTCGAGACGTCGTTGCGGACTTGAGAGAGAGAGAGAGAGAGAGGGAGAGAGAGAGAGGGAGAGGGAGGGAGAGAGAGAGAGAGAGAGAGAGAGAGAGAGAGAGAGAGAGGGAAAGACAGAGAGGGGAAGGAGGGAGAGGGAGAGAAACTAGAAGAGAAAGACAACAGACGAAAAGGAAAGAAAGAAGAGAACATCGAGTCGGAGCGGAATCCGCGACGATGATTCCTGCGCTCGAAAATTGAAGTTCGACTTTCTCGATCAAACGAAATCGACGTCGCCGGGTGCCGCTCTGATGGCGGGTCTCGAGATCACGGCACACAGCGCGATGTTATCGTTCTTTTTCTTTCCTCTTCTCTTGTTTCTTTTTTTTTTGTTGGTTCTCGAATATAGACTGACTCTCGTAACGCGCTGTAAAATCGCGAGCGCGCGCGAACGAACGACGAACGAGTTGGTCGTGACACTTGCAGAACGTACGTGACAATTCTTGGCGGAAGTTGCGTAACGCGCCGTCCGCTGCGATCGACTAACCGTTATTTAGTTAGATTAGGGCGAATATCAGTCTGGCGAGAAGGCTCGTTAGTAAAACGCTCAGGCACCGTTCGATTTCGAAGAAACCGCGGGGATCGCCGCGCTCTCATCTCCGCCGATTTCTCGTTCCTCCGTATGTACCGGTCTTTATCCGCTTCTTGCTCGGACGCACGAGATCGATGAGGGTCGAATGAAGAATGTGTCGAAACGAGATCGAGTGTGTACTCGTAGAAACGTGCTAAACATTTTTACGATCCTTCTTCGTGTAACGTACACCGAAACGCGCTTCCTCCTCTCGCTTTTTTTATATCGCATTATAAACCGCGATAGAATGAGAGAAAGTGTGTGTGAGAGAGAGAGAGAGAGAGAGAGAAAGAGAGAGAGAGAGAGAGAGATAGCGAATTCGTACACAAACGCGATTTACAGCGAGAAACGTAATCGCCAGAGTGCGAACGGTATAAATATTTCGTTCTATGCGCATGCACGGAAAAAAGAATGTTCGACCGAATGAGACAGTTTTCCGGTGAGATAAGAACGATTTGGAAATCCCGACCGAAGATACCAGAACTCCGTGTGTTTTGTTCAAGCGGAGATCTTGGGGCAGGTTGTTCCGATTCCGTGCTAGGTCGTGCTGCTGATTAAATCGTGTGTCTGTCTTTGTCTAAATTGAAGGAAAAATAAGACCAAAGATCTGATTCAACTATCAATCAATTTACCAAGAAGTTGGAACGGAATCGGCCCTTGGTAATAATAATTTCGACTGAATTCTGGTAACTTCAATTCGGGATTTCTGCATCGTTCGCACTTCACCAGAAGATCGGTTCACTCGGAGCGGAGTGTCTCTCTCCGTGCGGGTGTTGTATATAGCAGCCGAGAGCGCGACGCTAGAACGAGCCACACACGACGTGACAGATTTGGCTTGGTATTTTGTGTGTGTGTGTGTGTGTGTGTATGTGTGTGTGTGTGTGTGTGTGTCAGTGTCAAGAAAGAGCTTTTCTTTTTATTTAAAAAAATCGATGTTTGAAAAATGGTGTTCACAATAATATAGTACAACAACGTAACGATATTACATAGGTAATATATATATATATATATATATATAATATTATTTATATAATAATAGGTAATTCTTCTTTACCACAGTAACACATGGCTATATACAAATATTACAAATTTTTATTTCCTTTCATTTAAGCCCTCGTCGCCGCGGATCGACTTGTGCTTCGCGATTCTGGCGCGAGACTAGGCAGCGAGAGTTTTCTGTCCTCGCTGCTCATCTTATTTTTCTTTAATTGCACGTTACGGCAGGCTTGCGATCCTATTAATCTTAAGCCAGTCTCTCTCCTTCTCTCGGTGCGATAGACAGAAGGAGAGAAAGAAATAGAGAAAGAGAGAGAGAGAGAGAGAGCATGAGAGAGAACGTGTATTTTTTTTGGGTGCATAATAAAAAGAGGAAACGGGAGAAATGATGAATTAGATGTGAGCTTTAGAGGGACAGAGAAGGAAAGGAGGCACGTTAGAATTCGTGTTGAGACTTCAACGTGACTTCGATATAGCGCAGACTGAGATATGAGAATTAACGCAATCACGTTCGAAGCTGTAAAATCTTCCCGAGGATACTTTGGTCATGCTGTGTATCGTTCGTCGACGATCTCTTCAAGATTAGGAAACGTGACTCTCGGGGAACATCTCGTTTCACTTGAAGAGACTCGTCTTCGTGAAAACTGACACTCGTAATCCGACCGGATTGTAACATCGACAATGAAATTGAATTGAATTTCGTCGCGAGCCACTGAAGAAAGATTGCCGCTGAGAAGAATGTCGTGTAATAAGAATGTTTCGCGATTCAATCGCGAAAAATCTCACCGTAATGTCCCAGCCTATGTGCACGCACACTCCTCAATGATTTCGGCCGAGAATGTTGGTTGAAAAACAAAGGCAAAGTGTGATTCGTTGCCGCGACTTGACATCAATTACCTCGTTCGGTTGCAAACAATTCGGAGTAAAGGAGTCTAGTGAATGAAGAAATGCCATCTCGAAAGACGTCAGTCGCGAGTATGTTAGGGAAATCAATTTGCAACTTGAGGAATCTGTAAGCGAGATGCAACGCACGACGCGCCTGAGAACACCATGTCCTCGCGCAACGATCGGAGAAAGAGAGGTCGCAATGTGAATATAAAAAAGCAACAGCTCGCTGTAATGTGTGTTTGAGGCCGATGCGCTTCGATACTATTACACTTACACCGCCATTCAACGGGAATTAATGTGAGCTGAGGTTGATGTGCTGTGAGATCGTATATCATTCACGCCGTTCGGTCAATAGAATTGCCCGATACAAATTATGCAAATTTAGCGAACGCGTGGTATTTGCGATTAGAAAGAGAGAGAGAGAGAGAGAGAGAGAGAGAGAGAGAGAGAGAGAGAGAGAGAGAGAGAGAGAGAGAGAGAGAGAAGGAAAGAGAGAGAGAGAGAGAGAGAGAACTCTGAAAACGTTACGCTGTTTCTCAGTTTCCTGACGGTATCGATAAAACGAGAAAGGAAAAACGGTAACGTGTTATATTGAAAGATCTCACGAATCGACGCTAAATTCGCTTAACATAGCATGGCGATTAACGCAACGCGCGGTCATCGTGTGTCATCCCGTTTCGACGATTTCTTCACGTGCGTGTTGCGCACATTATTTGTTAGTCGCTCGAGTTCTTCGGTAACCTGAATATATATTTATACATACATATATATATACATATACACATGTGTATATATATATATATATATGTATATCAATCGAAAGACAGCGATGTACGTTTCGCGACGTGTGTCGGAGATACGATGATAATAATAATGGGAGAAAATCTGTCCTCTCTGTTCATTCCTTTTTTTTTATCTTTTCTTTGCGAGAAATTCCGGTGAAGAATTCCGTGTTCTTCGTCCCCCTTTTAGCGAGCCCCTCGTTCACGATTAAGAGTGACAATGACAAATTGACGTCACGATCTTGGTTAACATTTAACTTGGTTTAACGACCTATGTTAAACGACCGACGATCATATTACATATGTTTATATTGCACGATTAATGATTCGATAGCACGATCTTACAATCTACGACGAATATATCTTCTACGCGCTTTTGGCACCTCTTGCGTTTTGCGCATTTACGCGGACGAGACTTTGCAAGTAAAAGAGAGCAAACGGGAAGAGAAATTTTTCATTCTACTACGTCAACTCTTTCGAATATATCGATGGTTCATCAACTTGGTCAACATTAATCACATTTTAAATATGTAAAGATTATTGTTAAATTTCTTCCGTTCTCGAGGTACTCTCCCCGCCGAGCTTTCGGTACGCGCGAAGAAGCTCCCGTAGCCGCGAAGTGTATTTGGCGGTTAACTGATAAGCATGTGTGTGTGTGTGTGTGTGTGTGTATGTGTTTGTGTTGAACGATGAGAGATAACGAAAGGAACAGGACACTTCCTTCCACCGCACTTCGCGCTTACCGGAACTTCCTCGACGTTTATACTCCGGTATATTTATGTATTCTCTCTTGCAGATACAAGGTGATCTATATTTATAAGATATGAATGGTATCAGAGCGATAACGAATTTATACTATTTCACTTTACGTCTGTAACGTCCCGATTTTCAATCTATTCAATGTAGTATGAAAGAAGGTCTGCATCTATATATGTGTCCTGCGTATGTATGTATGTATGTATGTATGTATGCGTGTGAGAGTGCTGTGGTATGCACCGCTGGATTCAGGCTACACATTTCAGGTATGAACGTTTTCGCGGATAATTAATGGCGTTTGACGAGCTCGAGACGGCGCGTCGCTCTCCCTCACGATCGAATTCCTCTCGTGTTCTCGTAATTTGAATTTCGAATTGTAAGTTTGTCCAATCTGTCAAGCGGTTTTCACGCTCGCAAACGACTGGCAATACGACTGGCGTGTGTGCATCGCGGGAACTCACCGTATTCCCGTGTAATTCGTCGCACTTTCCGACTTGTCGCAGCCTGAATCCGTAACACTACAATCGCCTATATCGTGTGTTCAACTAGAATGAAGAATTCGAATGTTACTGAGAAGGGTATGGTACGCTACTTACGATGTGTATAGATATAAGCGTCGTTTTCTTGATCTCATACTTTATCATTTATCTTAATTTCGCATTCGGTTTTCACCACCGAACGCGCGTATAAAGTATAATATATATTACTTTCAAAAAACAATTGACAACCGCCGAGGGTACACGCATATGACGCATATCTGCCTGCTCGTTATTACCACCGCGTCCGTCCAGCGTGATACGAAAATCAGAACGCAAGTGTTAACAATTGAGTTTACTCGATTTCTTTTCCCGGGTAGCACGAGTCAATACGACAAGTCGTAGGGGATGGTTGCGTGTGGCGAAACGAAACTATTCCTAATCTAAACGTACAGAAGTGGTGACCAGTATGAGGATTGCACGCTCGAGATGCAGAGAGATGATTCTTCTCGTTAATAAACGGTCCTGCGCGGTCCTTTCGCGCCGAGATCGCCATTGAATCTCTGGATTTTGCAATTCGCGAAACATCGGATCCGATCACGACTGTCGATCGACCAAGGCAAAAAGAGACGAGTCCGAATTCGGGACTCGATGATTCAATTCTGTGTTATCTGGATGGGATCTCGGTGTATCGGCCAGCGCGATAACGCGAATCTTCCACCCCCATCCAGAATACATTCCGCTAACGCAAACGCGTTTATGATCGCGTATACAAGCTGCTCTCGCAAGATTATAACGAGAAAAAGGAAACACAACGATCTAGATTGCTGCTGTGGCGTGTACCGCCGATAGGCATCTCCCTCCTCTCTCACTTCTATGTCTTTATGCGTTTTAAACGCTCCTCCTCGTTGAGGGGGGCGCGAATCGATCGTCCTCTCTAACGTTAAATTGGCCTAAACGGTAGATATTACCTCTTACTATAATTGCGTATGATAAAAGCATGTATAAATCATCAGTAAACATTTCGTTTTGTGCTTCTTAGAGATCATACATGATACAATGTACAAAGTAGTGTAAAATAAAAAAAAGGGTTAATAAAGATTCGTATTACTTAATCGTCAATTAACGGTCTTATCACGAGCGGGAAACAACTATCGTTGACCACTGACTTGTATCCGGAAGGAGATTTCGTACACGAGTATACTATCTACAGGGGTAACCTGCTGCATATAGTATACTATTTACACTTGACTTCTTTTGTTTTCTTTATATGCGATAAGTCGCGGAGGCGATGCACGAGTTGAGATTAGAAAGAGGAGAAAAGAAAAGGAAATATCGTATCGGGCGCGAGACAATTGATATTGATAAACGTGTGTTTCTCGCACACCCGCTCTGTGTGACACACGCGCTGCACAAAAATGAAGTTGGACAAGGTGTATATCTCTAAATATGTATAAATATACACGGCGATGTATAAGTATACACATTGACTCGCATTTTTGCCCTGCAAAATCCGCCAGTGTCCAACAAGTGGTACCCCATGTGTCAAAGTGTCTTAAGAATTAATTCGCGACGACACCAGGACAGAATTGTTTTATCCTTCATGCGTTAGCCAGCGGATCTGTCTGTCGGTCGGTAAAATGAGTAAAATCTCTTCTCTTAGAGGCGATCTAACCTAAAGTGGGCCTCGGCGCTGGAATCCGATATGACCATCGTAGGGTCCGCGAGCATTTGTAAACCGTCCACGTCGATCGGATCGAGGCCCTGCCTGAGGGCGTCGTCAGATGGAAACATTTCCGGGTCGAAGTCGCCCATCATCGCCGTGCCGAGGTCTTTCACGAATTCCGGATTCGTCAGATCGTCCGGAGCAGAGAAGTCTGCGAAAGAAAATCGATCGGGATTAGCGGCGCGCGCGATATTATCGGCTACGGCAACTGCGAACAAACTGCGCGCTTCTCCGCGCGCGTTGTTCTCACGATAACATAAATGATGCGCATTGTACGTCAGCGCATTGAATACAAAGTATTCGCGGAACAGAAATAGAAATCAAATGACCCCGTCGAAGACGGGGCGCGTGCGAGCGAGACTACTTTGCTGGTATCTCGTTATGAAACGCAATTAGAGCAATTATCGCCCGTGCGATCTGCACAATGCCTACGGGAATCTCGTACCTGTGAGAATGATCGTGGGTGTGTTTGGCGTTTGCGGTGTGAGCTGCTGGGTAGCGGTGGTGGTCGTCGTCGGCGGCTGATACGCCATTTGCGGATTCGTGCTAAAGTAGCTGGTATCTCCGCTGCCTAATTCGCCGCCAACATTGATCACGTCGTTCTGTGGAACAGAGGCCAAAGGCAACGGGACCCGATGAACAAAGGGTAAAGCCAATAGCTCCTCTACGGTGACCGGAGCGATAATGAAAATTGCGAACTTTGCTCCGCTCCGCTACGCGCATTACGCTCGCTCAGCGATGCAATTTCCATTTTCGCTCGACGTAGCGTCCCTGCCCCCCCCCCTCCTCCTCCGAGAACGGGAGGAAACGCAGAGGCTCTACTCGCTCCGAGTGTTCTCACCTGCGTGAAATTCGCCGTGTGATTCGGCGATCCGATGTACGTCCCGATCGTGCTCGCCTGCACCGGCGTGTCCATCTGAAGTAGAAAAGAAAGAGATGCAGATGAGCGAATTTACATTAATTAATTAACACGCCTCGCGCCAGGGGTGGAGGTGGCGGGAGGACGGGGGGCGGGGGGGGGGGAGCGGGATTAAGGCTGTTTGCGGTCTAATCTGATTCATCTTTAAGTGCGCGACTAAGTTGATTCATCTCGCGTCTCTCCCACCCGAAATGCTTTTTATAGAACGACCGCGCGCGGGAGGGAAGATAGCGGAAGAGGAGTATAAAGGGAGAAGTAAGGGAGAAGTACGATCGAACCGTGAACACACACTCGATTCGCGCGCACCGCACACCGCCAAGATCGCCCTCTGCCACCCCTCCCCCCGCCGCCTCCTTCCCTGCCCGACCGACCCCTCCCCGTCATCTTCTTCGATTCGAAATCTATTACGACTTTAGCTACGCTTCGATTTCCGGAGATACCTCGTTCCTCCTAATAGCCTTTGTTGGAGGAAATCCCTCCAGATCGAAGGTGCACGCACTCGCGACTCGCGCTGGGTTTCCCCGATAAAAAGAAAAAATAAAAAAGAAATCGAAAGAAAGCAGCAGAGATGTGTACTCTCGGGCTCGGGACGGGTTCCGATTCTCGGCCGGTGATATCAAGAAGCGATCTCGAACGCGAGCTCACGAGCGACTGAGAGGCGGTTTCGTCCTCAACGATGCTTTTTATCGCGTAAATAAAATATCGTCTTCTCTCTATTCGTCCATTAAGCCGCGCTGGCTTGGCGCGTAGCCGTCCATGCGGTATCAAACGCCACGGTAACGGCCACTTGTGCGTGCAACTGCAGGAGGGAGTAAAGAGAGGGTATCGTTAAGGCCCTGCGATAAAGCCAGGTCCTTCTGAAGCACAGCACGCACGATGGTGACTTTCGTACGTGCATACGTAATACCGTACGACCGCGTTTCCGAGCTTGCGGGCTATCAATCAGAGCTTATGCCGCGCGCGAATTGCGATTATTACCAACTACCGTTCTCTTTTTCTCTCTTTCTCTCTCTCTCTCTCTCGCCTCTCTCTCTCTCTCTCTCTCTCTCTCTCTCTCTCGCTCTCGCTCTCTTCCTCGTTCCAGTGTTTTTCCACGGCGAAAGCCACAAAGTACGCGCCTTTCCCGTGCGCGACTCTAACGACTCGGCCGAGACATTAAAAAATTTGCCTTTGACGCGGCTTATGTATTAAACATCAGCGCGGCACACGCGGCGTGTGATACCTCCGCGCGGCAGGTGATATTTTACCGTAATGTGCAAGTATTTCACGTCCAATCTGATATATACATATATATATATATATTTCTTTTTTCCTCCGTTGCGAAGCACGAGCTTCTCCCTCACACGTACGGGAATACATTTCGACGCGTACATATGCAACGACCCTGCCGTCGTGCGGAAACGGAGTCGCGAAGGGGAGGCTGTTTTGAGTGTCTCAGTTTGCCAAAACAGACGCATCGGTGGTCGTCGACGAACTGTAAATTTCTTTCGCTTAGCAAATACAGAAGAAAACAAACTGGAGATAGATGAGATCGCATAGGATACTGGAATATCGCGCGTTACAATAACAACACCGTCTTCGGGTCTCCCTGTCTCAGGCGCAACCGCGCGCAAACGCGCATGACTGTCCGTTATCAGTGACATTTGGAGAAGATGTGCTCTCCTCGCCGCGGGCCTCACGCAAAAAAGAACAGGAAAGAAACGGAAGGTAGAGGCGACAACGCAACGCCGTAGTAAAATGGGAGTTGCTCTTAATGTAGCGAACTTTTGCAAATAAAAAGTGTTTCAACTAATGGCGATATATTTCACCTCTATCTGCGTGGTCCAGGTGCAACCAAGTTCCATCAGCTGCTGCGCGAATTTGGGCCACTCCTGACGAATGCAGGCAACAGATAAACAGCAAGACTTAAGGCACAAGTCTAGAGGCTACATAATCAGTTTTGTATTTGGCAAACACATTCGCCTCCTTCCCTCCCTCCCTCCCTCCCTCCCTCCCTCTCCCCTCTCTCTCTCCCCCTCTCTTTCTTTTCTCAGCGTTGATTATCGACTGACATGCTCCCGTTACCAAAACTCGACGTACACTTGCGGCGCGCGTACGCGAGCCAATTAACGATCGTAATTTCGCGTTTAGAAGCGTGGCATTATAAACGAGGAATATATCGGGAATCGCAATTTCACGCCTTTGACGAGCGAGCGAGCGAGCGATCGAACGAACGAACGGACGAACGAACGAACGAACCAACGAACCAACCAACGAATAGACGAACGGACGGAGCATTTGACGATGTAACCGAGTAGAATACCAAACGACTCCGGCGGAATAATTCATACGAATCATTCGCTCGGAATAATTCATCGCGTAACATTAATTATAACTGCGAAGGTCAAACCGGCTCTGAATAAGAATGCATATTGTATGCGTTGGAATTCATTAAAACCGATCGGCTCGCACGGTAACTCTAGGAATACGTGAAAAGAAGGAAGAAGAAAAGAAAAATAAAAAGAAAAAAAAGGAGATGCAGGGGACGAGAGTGTCTCGCACGAAAATTGCGTTACACGGCGATGCGTGAAAATATGAAAATCGTCCCGCGCGCGATATGCTGCCTACGTTCGCGTCTCACTCGTGCCGTTTCTCTTTCCTTTGCCGTTTTACTAAGTAACGAGTACGACTCAGCATCGGATACTTACCAGTCCCTTGGACATGCATAAAAAAAAATTGAGCGCCAATTAGGATCGGATATCTTTTCATTAATTATAATTGATGGGGGCTCGCTCGTATAGTTTACACAATCGAAACCCGGCCGAAATGCTTTCGCTCTCTCGAGAGAGAATTCAGATCGGGAGAATCGGCGAGCCTGTATTTTCCTCCCCCTCTCTCTCTCTCTCTCTCTCTCTCTCTCTCTCTCTCTGTGTATGTGTGTGTGTGTATGTGTGCCGTTGTATATAGACATCGCACGCACGTCGAGGCAAAACGGACAAGTTGTGCGTGTCTGTATAAGCGCGTAACGTAGCGTGACGACGGTGTATACGGAACGCGCGCTCGCTTTCTCTCTCTCTCTCTCTCTCTCTCTCTCTCTCCCTCCCTCTCTCTCTCTCGCCGCGAAAACCCGAATGCAATTATGCAGCGGAGTATATGCCATGTAAAAACGTGCAGCACGTGCGTGCGTCTCACGTATTATCGACGCGACGCGAGGAGAGGCCGGAGATCGGCCTCTGCAGCGGCGACACGGGAGACACTCTCCGTGAGAGGCTGCGATTGTTACTCGATTGTTTCGTCGCGCGAGAAACGAGCCTCGAGATGAGAATATATGAAAACACCGGTTCGGGAGAGGCGTTTTCTTCCTTCTCCGGAGGTAAGACTGCCCGGCGACAGAAGTAAGGCAAGAATGTCGAGCGCATCGCTGGACCGCCGCCAGCGGTGTGTATAATAGATCGAAGGGCAAATATCTCTCGGGCGCAAAATTCGCGAAAGCAGCGCAACACTGGCACCGACGGTCGCACCCGCAAGAGAGAAGAGATCGAGTGGTCCTTTCTATCTTTTATCTTTTTACGCTCTCTAGCTCTCGTCGTTCTTTACTTGCGTCGCGCGCCGGGTCGCCACCGCGCCGATCGGGAAGCTTTTCGTTCCTCTCTTTTTCGCATTCGTGATCCTACGATGGAAACGCAAACGCTAGCTCTTCTGCCCGAGAATAGTCTACCCTGATATATGTGTGTGCTTCGGGTTCCGCGCGAGATTTTCTACAGTCCGATTGCTGGCCGAAAACTTGCTCTCTCAAAGTGAATCAGTGAAACTCACTGTCAATCAGCGATTATACACTGATTGTCAGTGCTAAATATACCACTGGAAAATTCATAAATATACCACTGAATTTTTCAGTGGTATACTTAGCACTGACAATCAGTGTACAATCGCTGATTGACAGTGAGTTTCACTGATTCACTTTGAGAGAGAGAGTGTGCGATCCAGGAAGATCCGCACGCACAAAGATACAAGAGAGCTCCGCGGATGTGTTCGTCCGCGCGCGCGCATTAAAGCCGCCCGCACATGCTTCGAAACGAATGAATTCACCTACCATCGTGAACTGCTCGAAGTCCTGCTGAAGGGACGCCGCTTGCGCCTGACTCATGAAGTAAGTATTCTGGTCGATCGCATCGGACGTCAAGTTCGGTGGACCCGGATGTCCCGTGGGACTAGATGGCGCCGACGGGTTATTGCTGTAACTCAGAGGACTTCCCTGGAACAGGAGACAACAGTGTTACTCGTGTACTTGTCGCGCCAAGTCGTCGCGAGAGCGCTTGCTCGCTTCTTGCTCGCTCGGACAAATGACGCATCGATCATTAGCGGAGTAAGCGCAAGAGGTTCGCGACGGAGCTCTTCGAGACTTCAGCTGCTCCTCACGGACTCTCCAAGACATGTCGTGAGACTTGTCTCAAGAACTAGTCGCGTCTCGAGAACGTTCCGTCATCGAGTCGTCTGACCGGCCTTAACTCGCGGTCAATACGCGAGGAAAATTCGCCGCGAAACGTCACGAACTTTCGCGTCTCGTGATACTTCTTGCAAAACGGCGGCTTTGATAAGTCAGCCTCGAAAAGTCAGCGAGAGATTCTACGGAGACTTCCAAAGTTCGGTCGAATTTTTCACTTCGTCGTGTACGTGTCGATGGAAACGAGTTATTCGTTAGCAAAATGTCTAACAGCTCGTTCATCGGCCAAGCGCAATCGTCGTCGTCGTCGTCGTTGTTTAGAATCTCCCGCCAACGTGTTGGCAGAATTCGTAAATCTTTATTATGGAAGCTGGCCAATCTACGGTCCATTACGGCTTAATTATCTTCACCTTGGAAGTCGAGCCGGGCTTTTTGACTAACTATCTTCGTCAACTGTTACATATTAATATCTTACAACACGAGAGATGATCTCACTTGAACTGTTAGACTAGGTGACGATTGCGGCGACGGCCTGTTCACCGACTGCGTGGATCGGTACGACCCCAGTGAGTTGAGCTGCTGCGGTGGCTGTTGATGCTGCTGCTGCTGTTGCTGTTGTTGCTGCGACTGCGACGTTTTCTAGATAACAGACACGGATGGAAGACACATGTAGAACAACCGATGGCATCGATAACGACAATCACTCACGAGGGAAGGGGGGGGTCTGACGGCGATATTTAATCACGACACATTTAACTAACGACGACTCTGGCGATTGTCGGCGAATTCGTTTCGATTGTAATCGATAACATTATCTCGGTCAACACAGGAGACAGCCGGTCGCTACGTGACGACACGTGGACGCGAATCTCGTCGGTCGGCTGCCAGGAAGCACCGAGCCGTATCCGGCTCGGTACTCGAAGAGAGAGAGAGAGAGAGAGAGAGAGAGAGAGAGAGAGAGAGAGACATACAATATTCGGATACTCGATACCGCGATACCATCAGCGACACCGCGAGCCGTGCACTTTAGCATTTCGCGGCAGATTTCGCGGGTCCGACCATCCCCCGTCATCTCGGCCGACTGCTATCATCTAGCGTGTAAATGTGTATGCGTGTATGTATACTAACTGGACTTTGCGGCGGCACAGGACTGTGCGGTTGTTGATAAATGTAGTGGCTGGTCGGGCTGTGAGACGTCGCCGTCGGCGCCGGTTGCTGCGGGTAGCTCTGAAGATCCTGTTGCGAAGTACTTGTGCTGTTTTCCAGTGCCACACCCTGCTTCATACCCATCGCTATTAACGATCGATCATCGAGAGTCCGTCGCGCTACGCTCTCTCGCTTTTCTTTCCCCTCCGCCGCCCCCCTACCCCCCCCCGTCGTCTACTTTATTCTTTCCTCCCGCTTTTCCTTTTGTCGTTTCTACTTTTCTCTTTTCATCGCGTTCTCGCGTAACTAAACTCGACAGATGCTAGTCGTCAGGCAGGCCCGCGCAAATCGATTCTCCACGTTGATTACAGCACCGGACTCGCGCGCGGAAACGGCTCGCCGTGACGAGCGACCGGACTCACACAACTCCGAGTCGCTCTCCGTTGAATCTCGAGCGAGCGTTCAAAGCTCAATTTCACAAAGCAACGTACACACGAGCCTCGCTTTCTGGCCGATCGGAGGGTATAACGTCGTGAAAAATTACAAAAAGAAAAGAAATCCACGAGAAAGATTCAAAATCAAAAATTGGCCGAAACTCCTTGGAGGATCCTCCTCCGCTCGTTTCTCCTCTCCCTCCTTCGGACGTTTTCTTTTTTTTTTTTTTTTTTCAGACGTTCGATCGACGCAGAACGACTACGTAGCGCTGCATTATTGCGTAGCGCCCGGCGTTTCCCGCGTTACGACGCAATCGCTCAAATTACGTCAAAATTGGCATTGCGTAATGGTTTCGCTTCTTCCTATCAACTGCGGACGACGTCATTTTCCCAACGCGCGTTTTTCAGCCCGAGTCGCTTAACGTCGCGGCGAACCGTACACGCGCGACTTTTTGCCGACACATATATATTACAATATATATATATTTTTTTTTTATATACTGTTATATATATATATATATATATACATACGCTACGGCGTTAGCATACATATACGCTTTCGCTATTGATTGTATTTCGAGTTTATCTGCAAGCTCGGTACTATGTAACAAGCAAAACAATAAAAACGCCACGGCGTTAACGGCCGTCGCGGCTAAAAGGCAGCAACAACACAAGCGTACCGTTATTACGTCTCGTGAGAGCGAGAAACTGGTGTGACTACTAACCTTACACGTGTGAAGAAACCTAGAGTTAACAGGCACTGATAAATGGTTCTGCAAAATAACAAACACAAACAACCACTACAACAAAGGCAAACAGAAAAAAATAATAGAAAATTAAGAGACGCCCGGCAAAAGTCGCGGGTGGGAGGTTTCGTCTTTGCGCCCGTCGGATCTTTTCTTTTCTCTTCTTTTTCCTTTTTTGTCTTTCGAGCGCGTCCCGATATTAATAAGGGAACGCGAGGAGCAAGATAACCGCAATGAGAAATCGGGGATGCTGTTTTTCTTTCCTTTTTTCTCTCTTTTAATCACCTCGTCGAAGAACGCGCGAGACACCAGCGACGTTTCCCTCGAGCGTTTCGGATTGCGATTTACATCGACTGGCGCTTCCAGCACGGTCTAACGATCAAAATTGTCACGAGCGGACCACGATAAATGTATTATTAAATACCGTATTAATAACGGCGGGTCGCATTTGGGTCACAAGTGCGATCGCGGCGTGTTACGAAAGTTTCATTGCGAACTTATAACGCTGCATAATCGTGTCCCTTCGCTACGCTACATTTACCATCGACAGTTGTATGCTAGAAAACAAGGAAAGAAAAAAAAAAAAGAAACACTGAAGGTGTCAGAGCTACGACGAAATTAGCGTGTTCGTACAATAAGGAAGCATGCCGAATATTCGTAAATAAAGAGAGGATACTTTGAGCTTTCCTCGGTCGAGGAAAAAGGCGCTCCTCGGCGTGAGTTAGCACAAAAAAGTGATCCAATTGTCGTGCATGCGAGAGCGAACCGCCGAAGAAGAAATCCTTCGTCGTTCACGTGATATGTGATATCCACTTGTTGCAAATAGTGCCAATCGTGACGAATCGGTGATGTTGAACGAGCGAGAGAGAGAGAGAGTATCGTCTGAATTGTTCCCTTTAGCGCCGCGCTAACTGTATCTCCTCAGCTCTTCGTCAAATAAACGTGTCCACTCGTGTCTTTTTACTCGAAGGAAGCAGCCGCAATATGTATCTCAAGAGAGATTCTAGCGCTACTCTAATCGAAACGTTCTAACATTTAAGGAAGCACAGAGAAGCACAAAGAATGTTCGCGTCTCATGCAATCGTTGCATTGCATCCTAAGTCACATCCTCCAACAAACAAACTCGTGTCCGACGGAACCGAGGTAACGTTTTCGTCGATCAACTCTCTTTCGAGCTCTGTCCGCCGCTCGACAGCGTTTCTTTCACGGTTGATTTCACGACGCTAATCAGTAGCTCGAGTGTATCCGCATAATCTGCCGAAAACGACATTCCGGCTCCGGCGACGCGACTGTTGCCATTGAAATAGAACCGGAGAGGGAGAAACAGAGAATATCGTACGAAAATATTCCTCTCGGACGACACCGTCGTGTATATTTTCGTAGCAAAATTACAATACGTGTCGCGCAAACACATTCTGCCTCTCCCAATTTTAGAAGCGCGCGATTTCTCCTCGATTCCGTAACCCACCATCAAACAGATGCGAAATATCCGAGCGATATCGGTATCACGCGACAGATAGGTTTAATCGTAACAAGTAGATTTAATCAAGTTCATCGAGAGACACACACGCATCTGGCAAGAGAGATTGTCGAAAACCGGTTCCCCGAGAGAGCGAAGGATGCGACGTAAATCAATCCGACGTGTTTTTCGGATATTTCGCACGGTCAACAACATTCTACGGCAGCGGTTTTTAATCGAGGTCCACGATTTACCGTTCAAGCGTAAGTCTACGAGAACATCTGACAGAGAGAGAGAGAGAGAGAGAGAGAGAGAGAGAGAGAGAGAGAGAGAGAGAGAGAGAAAGAAAGAGAGAGAGAGAGAGAGAGAAAAAGAGAGAAAAAAGACAAGGAGAAACGCGGAAAGTGACGCTCGCGCTGCGAGCGGAGAAATCTACTAGAGGTAGAGAAACGCAACACTTCGTGTCGCTCGCAATTAAAAATCCGCTGCGCTCTATGACAATACGTGAGATCTATAGTAACTTCTAGTAACATTGGGGGCGCGAGGATATTTACTTGGACGCTTGACGGATTGTGATCCTGTGAAAAGGACAGCCTACCAGCTTGTGCCAAGCTGGTCGGCGACAGGTTTGTGGGACTGCTCGTTTGAGGACTCTGGAATGCACCAGCGATTCGACCATTTCAAAGAGAGATTCCCGCTTCCAGCAGTAAATCCTACTTGTCTAAAACTTCCGTACGATGTATAACTCGGCGATTCCGTATAAATCCGTATGAGCGATGGGAGCATCGGGGAGGAGGGGGAGGGGTGGGGGGAAACAAGAAAAAAGGGAAAAGAAAGAGAGGGGGGCGGAGGACGCGGGAGGAGTGAACGATCGGCGAAAATGGAGGACGGCTACACGGAAATACGACGTCCGAAACCGAAACCGTTTCGATATCGACGTCCGCCTTTTAAGTTCTTTAATCGGATATCGTCCCTTCGTTGGCGGCATCAGCTGTGGCACGTTAAGCTAGTTAACCGACTCCGTTTAACGCAAACAAATTGCCCAACATCGATATCGACGGAGAACCGCTCTTTTCGAGAAAGATCGAGAGAGAGAGAGAGAGAGAGAGAGAGAGAGAGAGAGAGAGAGAGAGGGGGGGGATACATGTACCGTAATACATCGTTACTAAGATACGTCTTCTCGTAAATATTATTTATTTATGACAGTTAGTCAAGTCGAAATTATCTCCCCGAGTTGTCTTTCCGTCCCACGGATACATCGCAAGAGAAACGGTGAAAAAATCCTACTAAACGTGCCATTAATTTTGTCGCTGAATTACCACGCCGAAACGAGATTCCGCTTCGTCGAGAGATCCGCGCGATATTTTCGCACAATTCATCATCACGTTTCCGCCGGTCGCATTACCGTAGATTAAAAAATGCGGTTTCGAAACCACGGACCGATATCGCACACATCGAAAGTCTAATTGATAAGGTGTCGAGGTTACGCCGTGTATAGGCTAGGTGGATCAAACTATACGCGCGTTGAACGGCTATGAGTAACGCTGCTTATTTATAGAACCTTATTAGCGCGATCTCGTGTGTTTGCGAGCGATAATCGAAATCGGTGCATTTCACGTTCTCCCGCGTTCTCGACACACGACGAAAAGTCGCTCGGACGTCGACGCTCGTTCGTCGACGCGGCCCGACGACGAGCCCCACTAAATCTGTCCCGTGCGTTAACGTACGAAATATCTCCGACGTATTGCCGTTCTCGGACGTTATTTCTACCGCAGACATTTCCCCCGAATTGTGTCCCCCCTTACACGTGAGTATGAGAAAGAGATCAGAAGAAATCAAGACGAACGAAACACGTCACCGTGAAAGCGATAAAGATTCGCTCGGGAAACACGTGCAGCCTCGCGACAAGAGTGTGCGTGTAGAGAGAAGATCGTGAGGAAAGGAGAGAAAATCTTCGAAAGATGTATATAAAGTGTAAATAGATGAGAGAGAGAGAGAGAGAGAGAGAGAGAGAGAGAGAGAGAGAGAGAAAGAGAGACGCGTGATTGCGGGTCGTGCGACTTACGTTGCTGAATGGCGTACTACTCGAGTGATCCTCCTGATCCAGGGGAGTGTGAATGGGCGACGGGAAGTGCACGTTGCTCAGATCGGGCAACGATCCCGTGTTGTTGCCAATCGGTATCTGCTGTCCCGGTGGTTGCGAGCTCGGGTATATGCTGAAACAGAGAATTTCGCGATGCCGGATTCACTCGCGGCGCGACCGACCGGCCGACCGTGACTTTGATCTCCTTCTCGCGCGTTCGTGCCGAGTCCAGCCGATCGATCGACTGAACAGAAGAGAGAACACCCGCGCGAAGCCTGTCTCAGCGAGACGAAAAGTCGGCGAGATGATAAAGCTAAGATGCTGGAGCAGCAAAAGTTCACGAACGCGCGATCGGCGATCGTGCTATTTACATGACGCTTGGCGATACGTACTTGATGCCAGGCACTCTCGGCATTTCGCACGAGGATCTCGGCCGCTCGATGAAGCTGTGATGAGAATCCCTGTTGTCGCTCCCGCTCCCGGTCATGGCGTGCTGATCTGCTCAAACGACAGAACGCGCGAATTTATGAAGTCCCGCGAGAGGAGCGGCGGGCGCGTCGGAGCGCGCCGTAAGGGGACGTTGATGGGGCGTTGAAGCGGCCGTTCGCGTAAACGATGCGTTTTCGCGACTTCGCGATCGCGACGCGCTTATATGTGCAGCGCGCGCGTATAAAACAATCGTTTTCGCAACAGCGTCATCCTACGACGTTCACACGGCTACGTGCTTCTCGCGCCAGTTATCCGATTTCGTCCGGGCAACGTAATACCGCTTACTAACGTTACTGGCGTATAACATTTCACATGGCCCGTCGCGTTGTCTAACGGCGGCGGATCATCCCGCGGACATTTGCGAGCCGGGTCTCTGGCGCAGTTTCAGGATAAACTGCTTGCCTTTACCGAAAATACACCGCCGCCGCGTTAAAATCGCTCTAGCCCGCTGCTTTCGCGTCTTCTCGCATCGAAGATGCGCGCCGGTGTCTCTCGCGCGTCTCTGGGAGAACAATAACAGATAAATATCTCAGAGAGGGAGCGCGCTGAAAAATAACAAATAAATAAGTAAATAAATAAAGAGCGGTATGAGATCGCGAGGTAGACCCGGTCTCGCGAGTGTCGCTCGTTACGCAGAGAGCGAGAGACGCCCGAGCAGATCCGCAAGGACGCAAGGACGATCGCGATCGCGAGAAAATTTCGGAAATTTCTCACGGGTCAAACGGGTCGCGAGAGCTTTCGATCCGCCGCAAATTACACCGTGCGCTCAAAGGCGAGTCCGCGCGCGGTCTCTCTGCGAGAGCTCGTTCTCTTGGCAAAATCTCGTAGGTAGCCACTTAAGAAAGGAGAGTCGCGATATAACGCGAGGTAACGAGGCAATATGGTAATGACGGGATTTCCGAGCCGAGCCATTCGCGAGAGACTGTGTCAAAACTCGAGGGAGAAGCGTCGTGAAGACGCGAGCGCTCCGCGCTGCTCGCAGGATGAGCTCATTAATATCGCGGCTGAGCGCGATGCTGAGAAACCATGCCGTTCACCCTGCGTGCGTGCGTGAGCTTTGAGTTCGTCGGGTCGTCGATCGTGAGAGAGAGAGAGAGAGAAAGAGAGAGAGAGAGAGAGAGAGAGAGAGAGGGGAGGGGGAAAATTTTTTCTTCACGCGCGAGATAAATTATGCAAGCTACAGCACGCGCTATAGCGCGTCATTTTACCGTTTATGAAATTGTGTAAATGATCGACGATCGAGGAAATCACGTCCGTACGTATAAAACGGGGAATTTCATGCAGAATGTCCTTGATTAATCGCCGTTTCTCTCTCCACGACGGACTGCTGCACCACGAGTGGAACCTGAGGGGAACCACGGTTAAAAAAAGATAAAAACTAACACGCGATAGATTCAAGAGGAGAGTTCAGGTGAGACGCGAGAGGTCTGTTCATCGTTCACGATATATTGCGTAATGCGAATTGCGAGGACAATAAGCGAACGTTGTTGTTTTTATGTACGAAGCAGATTCTCGGAAAAAACTCGCAAGTACGCGAGTACTGGAGAACGTTTTCGCGTGGGTTCCGGGCGAAGAAATTAGCTTTCGGAGATAAGCGCCCGATAGCGTCTCGTTACTAGCGAGTGCTTTGATGACACGTTATAAGATCCTCTTTTTCCCCTCTCTCTCTCTCTCTCTCTCTCTCTCTCTCTGCTTTCGTCCAGTGTATTATCTCGACAATATGCAAATAGCAAAGTTCAGGAGTCGCTAAGAGAAATAGACGTGTCTCTCTCGTCCTCTCTCTCTCTCTCTCTCTCTAGCAAAACTTGGACGTCAGATTGCGGGGGTTCGCTACGCGCTATAAGAGAAAGAAAAAGGAAAACCGACATGCGTCGCTACCTCGTCGATGAGGTATGGCGGAGGTCGACTGGCAAGCCTCGTTCGCGCTCTGATGCAAAGCCGAGTCCGAGTTGGTTCTCCGCCAGGTGTCCGGCGGCGGTGGCGACAGGTAAGGTACGCCGCTGTACGGCGAGGTGTCGTGTCTCTTCTCCATGGGCCGGGATCTCATCGGACCGACCCCCATGCTGCGGCTCCTATTGTCGCTGCGGTAGACCATCGAGTTGTGTTGCATCTCCTCGAGATTGCTGAGCGCCGTCTGCAAACACGAGAGATTCGTCTTTGAGGTTTCCGATCACGCAGGGGCGCCATGCGCGGCGGCGCGGGCGGCGCACGGCGAATGTCGCGCGAGGAAGTTGAAACAGTCGCGAGAAGCGCCGGGAGTCTCTCTCGGATCACTAGTATCCATAAATCGTGCAGCAGAAGCGTGCATGCGTGTTCGGCGTTGCGTTTCTTTCCGACCGTCCGGTCCCGCCGACGCGCCGAGTTCTCGCTCGGTGCGTTTGTTTGTCATTTCGTAATCACAGCGTGCGTGACGTGTATCGAATACGTCAAGTTCTATCGCTTTCGACGATCGACTTTCGATGATCGAAATTTATGATAAGATCCGTTATTTGTGGAATATACATACACACACTGCAAACCCGAGTGTGTTATTTTGACGCGTATAAGCTGAAGCTTTCTTCACGCGTTTCTTATCCTCTGAAATCACGTCATTTCATGCATTTCGATATCCCTTAACGCGTTTAAACGCGTTAAACAACGATAAAGGAAGCTTCAGCTTATACGCGTCGAAGTAACACACTCGGGTTTGCAGTGCACACACACACATACACACACACATATATATATATATACACATACATGGGGCAAGCATGAGCCGCGAGAAACGTACAAACGTTTCGGGAATCGATCGATCAAACGCGATAGCCGCGATATATATTAACGGGCTTCGCGAACTATTCCACCCGATAAAGTGGAATCTCAGCGAATTTCACTGTTCCGAGTTACGGCACCAGCGGGACATCTTTACGGAGACAGATACGAGCGCGCGCGCTTTCCACGGATGGAAACGAGCCGAGAGGGTCGAAGGGAAATAATTCATTTCTGTGCTCCGCGCCACCGCGTGGCGAAAATCTCTTTTCCGAACCCTCCGCGGCCGTCGCCATTCAACGGCCGGCGACGAAGAATTTCCTCGTCTCACGAATCCCGCCTCATAAAACGCGCCGTGCCGCTGCTTTTACGAGCCAACGTCGTCGTCGCACCGAACGACCATCGCCCTGGCAGCGATTAAAACGACATAAAGAAATTTAGTGAGCGTATTCGACCCATAAAGAGATCCCACAGGGAGATCCCGCTCGGCCGTGTCGGCCGCGGAGAAAAACTCTCGTCGCCGGGAATAAGGAGAAAATCTCGCGCGTCTCTTGGCGATCTATCGTCGCATTTTGCCGCAGCGTGCCGGAATTGCACGCGCCAGCGGTGTGTAAAATCCAGCGGATATGTGCGGCCACTCTCGTTGACGCGCTCTTCTCGCCCGCACGTCGGATTTTCCCCGAGTTGCGCTCCGAGCGACGTCTCTCTCGAGAGACACGAGCGGCGAGAGAGAGAGAGAGAGAGAGAGAGAGAGAGAGAGAGAAAAAGAGGGGAACACCCGATACTTCCGGGACGCAAGGCGATATCTCGATGCTTTGTAGCCCGAGGAAAGAAGGCACCCTGCAAATTGGACGTCGCTAACTCGATCAGATGGTACCGCGCTCTCGGCCGAAGAGAGAAGCTTCGAGTGCGCGCGGATAATGGCGTTACGGAGGGTCTCGAGTGACATCGTTTTTAAGGATTTAATCGCCGCTCGATCTCCCGAACTCATCTTTGTATTCTCATGCTCGTCCCGTGGCTTTATTATAGACTCGTAATATAAATGACAAAATTGATTTAAATTCCAAAGAGGCTTCTGCAGGACAGAGAAGGAGAGAGAGAGAGAGAGAGAGAGAGAGAGAGAGAGAGAGAGAAGGGGGAAGGGGGGGGAGGTGGAACGCGCATTATTCAAAGTAGCTTCCCTTTTAAACCCTAATAAGAAAACATAAGCGACAGGCTGATGGGGATAAAACGCTTTCGTGGGATTTCGAGCTTCCTGTCAGCGGGACTGCGAACCCAATAAAGAAATCCCTCCGCAGGCTGCTCCTACGTATATATACGTGTGTGTATGTGTGCGTGTGTGTAAGTACGCGCGCGAGCGCGTTGGTCGCCATGTGTCGGATGAACGTGGGTCGCACGGCTATTACCTAATATCTGTTGAATTATGCGATAAACACGGAACGTTTCTCCCACGATTACGGGCGAGCTCGCTGCGACGCCGCTTGACAAACGCGCGTGTCGTTCGATCGTTTATCACACCATCCGCGTTTCGAGAAGCGCTCGATATTACAGCGGAGAAAAGTGGACGTCGCGCACGATACATTAGCGTAACGTTACGTTTCCGCCCGAAATTCATTGTATTTATCATCCATGTCACACACACACACACACACACACACACACACACACACACACACACACATCTCGGAAACATTCCCCCGGTCCTTTCTATTTCTTTTTTGTCTTCCCTTCTCCTCCGCCTCCTCTTGATTTATTCCGCGTAATTTCGGCCCGCGCGGGGAGAGAATTCGCCGAGAACTCCCCCCGACGTGATCGCATCGTATCCGTCGCGGGAGATGTCCGATTCCCAACATCATCACGAGGCGTGCGATACCGCAGACTACGCCGTCCACGCCGTATACGACGCAACAGTTCCACGTAGTTGAAATCGCCGCTGACGTAACGGCTCAACCACGCGCGCACGCGAGTGTACGCGTGATAACTGTCGCGCGATATCGCTTTTATCGAGTCCAGTATTTTGAGGAAACTCGGACCGCTCGCGCGACCCGCGAGTTTCAACGGCGTTCCCACTCCGCACCGACAGAGAGCGCGTCTTCTCTCTCTGTCGTCCTCTCCCTTCCTCCTTTTTCCTCCTACCGCCCGCCTCGCGCCGACCTGTCTTTCTTTATTAACATAATGTAATATGCAGAGCGTATTGGCGTCTGGCGTGCTGACGATGCAAGAATAGTCCCACCGCGCGTTTTTCACACATCGCGCACACGGACAATATCGCGCGCACGTGTCGGCGGAGGCTCATCGAGTCGGCACGCGCGCGCGGAGAGAAGCGTTAAACATATTTCGTATTGTTCGCGCGACCACATAGTGGCCAGCACGCCGCCCGTACTTTATATAAAGCCTTTGTCAGGATAAAAAGCGCCGGTAAAATATAAATAACGCTGTTATAAGCAGCTGCAGAATGCTATTAATTTGTCATGATTGATGCTGAACTATAGAGCATCGTGCGAATCGATCGGAGGAGAGGGGAGGGGGGATGGACCGCAGCGGGGAGCGCGGCCGGACGGGGATCACTACGCAGCGTGCAGAAGATTCCGCGGCTGATTCCCGAGGAGGAGCGAACCGACACGTCGACGATTCCCTGCCCGGGGGGATAGCGCGCGCGCGAGACCGTGACGAGAAAATGATCGTTGATCTTTCCTCGTCGGAAGAAAGCGCGAGGTCAACGAGTCTCGCCATTTGCGCGGGAAGATCCTCGTTTCTGCCGTTTCTCTCGCGGCCACGCATCGGCCACCGCGAGTACGCGCACGAAGTACGCCGAGGAATCCTTGGGAGTCCTTGCGGTTATCCTGCGGAGAAAAGCTGAAAACGGAGCGCGATAGCCGCATACATGGGTCGACGTCTCCATTCACAAGTTTCCCAATGTCAGGGCCGTGGGCGTCGTACGAGACGGCGCGCGGTGCATCGACCAAGCCGCGCGCGCTCGTTGAAGAAACATACCTTCAATTAACGTCGACGCTGACAAAAGGCGTTTGCTGTCCGGCGACGGCGGCGCGAATTCTCCGCGCGTCGGCCCGGCGGAATGTCGTCGTCGATCCGCGCGGCAGATCGATTTCCACGCCCATTAGTTCCACGGCGTTTCCACGTTTCCTCCGGCGGGAGGAAAAGTGTATCGCGCCGGCTAAATAAAATATGACCGCTGACGCCGGCGGGTTGAACGAACGGCCGTTAATAAAAATATAATACGTGCAGGAGAGGAGCTGCGCGGGTGGCGAGACGATACTACGCCGAGCGAGCCGATATAGGTCGATCGAATTAGCATAGCTCGCGATATTTTTCGCTTCGACGTCGGCAGCCGCTGGAAATCGTTGGCCACGTCCGCCACGTCGGCGTAGGTGCTCTCGCGACGTCGTCGTCGCGGCGGTCTGACCTAAATCGCGTACACAGTACGGTGCGTCGAAAAATCCGTGCGATTTCACAGACCGCGATTGACATTCCGCGGGGAAGCGCTCGACTCGACTCGAAAACGCCTCGGCGCCTCTCTTTGTGAAGAAGCAATCGCCGTCGTCGGCGCAGCCGTCAATTTATCCGCGACGGCGAGGCACGTGTCGGCGGATGCACGCGACAGCGTGCTCCGGGAGATCCTCGGCGGCCTGCATCGGCGCGATAGAGGCCAATATTAGTCTCGCGAGAGCAATGTGTGACGGACGAGAGGCGCGGGGTTGTGTTGTACGGCGAGTACAAAGCTGCGATCGATGTATGTACATACGGCGCGGCGCATCGCCAGCCACGATTCCCTCCTGTTCCGCCGCCAACATCTCGCCGCCAACGGCGGAACGTAATTACCGCGCTATCCATATTCAAGAACGAAATTACCGAGTACGACAGGGCTCGCTCAGTGTCGACGAGTGGACGACACATGGGTGCACGTTGCGTCCAACGTCGCGGCTTTCCAACGCCGCGGGTGCAACGCACCACCGTGTGTGAAATCTGTCGCGGGACGGTCGCGAGCGGTTTAATCTTTCCGCCGGCCGACATTATTAAGAAAGGTCAAACGTCGGCCGAACACCGATATAGCTTCCTACGGCGCGCACGCTGTGCACAAATGCAATTATACAACAATATTCATATTGCATGCGACAACTCATCGGGTAACTTTGAAAGGCTGAAAGTCCATAACATCGCCGACGAATGTCGGCACGTCTGACGAGAGAAGACAACAATACGCGGTCGGTACGTTGGTCGATAGGAGGACGAATTTACCGCGGCGTTTTCGACTGATGCGGGAAACACGGGATATAACTCTTCGTCGAGCAGATGATAATAAAAGTTAGACGAATATATTTATCGGAGTTGCTAAATCGCGCCGCGCTCGCCGCCCGGCTTACATGC